CGGCGACGTACCTAACACTCCTGAGCAGGTCCGTGTTCGTCCGCTGTTGGACTCATCCTGCTGCGAGCAGGGGAACGGAGGCCGCGGGCCTCTGGGTGCGGCGGAGGGCGCTTCGAGTCCGCGTGCGCGCGTCGCTCATTCGACTTGTGTAAACTGCCTTGAAACTCGACAAAATAGGGTTAGGAGATATCAACGTCAGGGTTAAGAGTCCGGCTCTCTTTTCACGACCTCCTCCAGGTCGTTCCTCGCTTTCTGCACCTCCAATCGTTCTAGCACAGCTCGATGCAAGCTCGACATCGCACTTCGCCCCACTGACTTGCCCTTGGACTTCGAGGCACCAGCCTCGCCGCCTTCGGCGGCAGGCGCACGGGGCAGATTTGACTGAGCGTTCGATGGCTCGCTCGTTGTCGTCAGGTGGGAAGGGACGATGATGGGCGTAGGACGGGGCGGAGGTGGCCACTATGGTTAGAATAAGCACAGAGAGAGGCGAAGGCTGACATGTCCCGCGTACCCCACGATGTGGCTGGTTGAAATGCAATGCTGCCCAAGGTGGATAGTCCTTCTCCAAACGAACAAGGTGTTCCTCGAGAAACTTGACGCGATCCAGCAGGGAGCGTGGCGGTGAGGGAACTTTACCATGCTGGTCAAGCTGAGAAAGAGTAATGCTGCATAAAAAAACACACCATATCGAACGGCAACATGGGTCTCGATGTTGTGCAATCGCTCACTGAGTGCAGGATACCGTTCTGCAGTAGGCGTGCTGTCTGTTTTGGCTTCAGGAGTGTCACTTTTCGGTTCCAACGGTTTGCTTTCCTGTTCGCGCTTCAGAGTCTTCCTGAGCGGACCATCCTCGTTCTTGACGATGTCGTACTTCATCTGCACGTCTCGATTCTGTGTCCTCGCGTCTGTACGAGCACACGAAGGCTCAGGGCCAATCGTTTCCGCATCCGAGTTTGATTCTCGAACTTTACGTTTCTTCTCGGCCAATGAGAGTAAAAACTCGTTACGATTCGAGAGGTCGTTGCGGGCTCTGTTTTGAGCAAGGAAGCGAGAGATATCTCTGGTGATCTGAGAGAAGAGCTAAGTGAGGGCGCGTCTGGAGATGAAGCAACGAACCCTCGAGGGCGTGCGAGGCTCAATGTCTTTCCGGAAACTGGCATGCTCTAATTTGCGTTCGTCAAGAGAGGCTTCGGGTAGTGAAAAAGGCTGAGAGCCGTCTTCAGCTTCAGTGTTATGAAGGTTCTGAATGAAAGCGTTATTGAGAGATAGGCGCAGCGAATGCTGGCGAGACCCACATTCAAATCTTCATGTAGCACAGAAAGCGCCGCAGGAACTTTCTCTTGTTCCCACTCCGAGCTCATTACGAGCATGTCAGACTCGAAGCCACGCAGCGCTTGTGTAAGCCCTGCCGACTGCAGGAACTGCTTCATGATTATATCCCAGTTGCAACGATGCGGAGGCGGCGGTGGTGGGGTAGGTGTTCGTGCTTTCGGCTGCGGCGCCACATGTTGCTGCGATTGGGCAGGCGCGGCGTGCAGCTGTACTGTTTGAAGGGGCATCTGGTACTGAGGGTGATATTGCTGAGGTTGTTGAGGCGCGTATGGCTGCCATTGTGGGGCCTGTCCCCATGTTTGCGGCGTGTAATTGTAGTACGCCAGTTGCGTTGGATACGATGCCTACTAGTAAAGCGTGAGTGCTATATGCATCTGCCGAGAAAGAGTAACTACGGTGTCCACGCCCACATGATTTGAATGGGATACCCGAAAGCTATTCGTGTTCGCAGATGATGATGCCTGTTGAGGAGTACTGGACCTTAAACTTGAAGTTGAGAATTAGGCCTTGCGAAGGCTAAATGCGACACACCCATGCATATTATTCGCAAAATGAGATGGCCCCGCTTCAGAGGGGTCAGGTCCTTGCATGCTGTATGGTCGCACAATGTCTGCACTTGGTGTTTTCGGGAGCCCGTGAAAGTCGCAAGCGAAGCGACCGAACGTAAAAAAATGGCTGTCGGGGCTATATTTCAAAAAAGCATACGTCGGCCCACGGTCTGATAGACGCTTTATTAGGCACCCCGACATTTTCCCGTTTTGTCGCCATCATGGCGCTGCGAGACCCTCATCCCGCCGACGGAGTCCATACCGCGTGCCACCATGTCCACGACATCTCTGGGATACTCCACCGCGCTGAGCACCTCGCGTAGAGAGGACGTACTCCCACATGAACTGAGGCTAGCTATCCAACGTGTGCTTGACTTGCGTCCGGACGCGGACACGAACCCCTTGGACGACCTGTCGGATGATTTCAGTCCAATTGGTGTGCTGAACGAGTTCTTTCCGGACGGTATGTTTCATTTGTATTAAGTGACCTTGTCAAGCTGAGATTACATGAGCCCAGAGGCGTCTCTCAGTAAGCTTGAAACTGTGCAGACGCAGCTCGTTCAGACCGAGAAGGAACTGCAAGATGAGATTTCTGCGTTGCAAGAGGAATTGCAGAAGGAACAAGATCCTAACAGGATGCAGTCCATCCAGGAAATGATATCTGTACGTCCCCGAATCAAGCCATATTAGACACCGAATGAACGCTTTTTGGCGCGTCTTGTTGTCACCAGGACCTACTGGGGCAGATGTCTCGTATCCGGGAAAAGGCTACAGAGTCAGAAGCTGTAGTACGAAACATTACGAAAGAGATTCAGGTTCTTGATCTTGCGAAGAGAAACCTTATTCTTAGTATGACTACTATGAAGCGACTCCAGAGCTTAGGTCCGTAATCCTTTTCGTATACGGGCTGGGCAAAGTTGACCTTGCTTCAGTGAGTGCGTTAGGGCAGCTGGAGGAGCAGATGCGTGAAAATAAGTACCAGGACATTGCTCAGACTCTTGCCGTGAGATCTTTTCATGTCGTGGAATACGCTCAAGACTGAAACAAATATATTGCAGGCTGTAAAGCAAATCATCGCGTCATTCAGGCAGTATACCTCTCTTCATAGAATGTCTCAGATCTCCCGGCGTGTACATGATATTCAAAACGAGCTCCGCGCAAAGATCGACGCGGATTGGGACAAATTGTGAGCACACTCGTCGTTACATACAGACCCTATCCTTAGCAATTATCAGCTATGCTCAAGATCCTGCTAAACCAGTCAAGCCCTCGACTATGGCAGCTGCGTGCCGTGTGATTGACGTTCTTGGCCCCGACATTCGTGTGTCGTTCATCGAGCGATACGTCGCGCTCGAGCTCAAGGAGTATCGGCGGATCTTCAAGGCGAGTGACGAGGCGGGCCAACTGGACAATGTAACAAACCGCTTCGGGTGGTTCAGGCGCCTGTTACAGACACATGAGACCGAGACAGGAAGAGTCTTCCCTGGTGACTGGCAGGTCGGGTGGCATTTGACAGCCAAGTTCATCGAAATCACCAGGTAAGGAACATATATAAAGAGAGCTGTGTTGATACTAACACTAGCTACAGAGACGACATGACGACACTACTTTCGAAGCCTGGGTCTGGTCTTACAGTCAAACAGCTTTTGGACACCCTGCAGGAAGTTCTTGACTTTGAGGCTTCAATTGTCAAGAAATACGCGATTCCAGTATGTACGACTTGATAAGCTGCCTTGTGTGCGCCGCTCACCTATCGCAGCTGGCAGACATCCTCAAGGCGACTCAGCCGGTAACAGGGATGCGTCTAAACAAGCCAATCTCTACAGCCTTCGAGCCACATATGAGCATCTTCATCTCTGCCCAGGACAAGTATGTACAGTTTCTGCCCACTTGTCCGCACCTGCTCACACGATGCTGATTTACAGGGCACTGTCTGACATGCTATCCAAACACCGTGGGACCAAGTCTCGGCCTTCGCTGGAAGCAATCAGTTCAGAAGGCGACGATAGTGAGCCGAGAACTTCAGTGCTCCCGAGCTCGACAGAGCTATTCTACTTCTATGCACAAATCCTGGAGCAATGTGCGAACTTGTTTACGGGGCAGCCGCTTTATGACTTGTGTCAGCTGCAAAAGAAATGGCTGAGGATATATGCGGGTGCGTTTAACGTGTTGTTGTGAGCCGCGGTGCTAACCTCGAGTAGAGGAAGTCTTGGTCGCGGGTCTGAAACGGTAGGATATCCATGACAGCGTATCGACGTATATTGAATAGCCACGTGTAGCCCCACGACCTTCACTCGCCATTCAGTGGAAGCTCGTCTGGATATGAACGAATTGAAGAATGCGTGTGTTCTAATCAACACAGCGGACTACTGCCATCAAACGGCGCTCGAGGTATACTCATCGTTTGTCCGTTACTTCCTAGCTCACTGCCGCTCCCTAGCTTGAAGAGAAGATCCGCGAGAAGGTGAGCGAGGCGTATAAACAGAGGATCTCCTTCCAAGAGGAATGCGACTTCTTCGTCAGGTGACTCCGGCAGTGCGAGTATTCCATTGTCTGCGAACTGAGCTTGCACCAGCGCCGTCTCCGCCGCAATTCTCGTCATCTTGAAAGAACTCGAGAACGCATGCGACTCTGCCTTTACGACCATGTCGCGCATCACATGGGGCACTCTCAACCTCGTCAGCGGCAACTCATCATACGTCGACGACCTCGTCAAAGCAGCTGAGAACGTCGTGGACGCTGTGAGGCCACTGGTAGACCAGAAGAAATACTTGAGAAACTTCTTCGACAAGGCGGCGGGTCTCCTGATCGCGAAGTTCACGAATGCTCTAGTAAGGGGCAGACCTTTGAAGGAGGTTGGTGCAGAGCAGGTACGTTGTGGCACGCAGCGACTTGAGTAGTGCGATTGACAATAGCGCTCTCAGCTCCTCATTGACTTGGGTGTCCTCAAGGCATGCTTGCTACGAATACCTGGTGAAGCAAACATCACTGCAAAGTCAGTAAACTGCTAGATGAAGAACGCATGTACTGATCCTATTCCAGCTACACTCGTACTGTTACCAAAAACACGCAGAGGCTAGAGGCTCTGCTCAAAGTGATTGTTACGCCGGTGGTATGTCTGAGATGCGGTGTATTTACCGCTTTAGACTCATATCTATGATAGGACCCTGCTGAAGGTTTCGTCCTAAACTACACGCTACTGATTGGCGATCAGTCGTTCTCTAACTTCCAAAAAGTATGCTACAGTCTTGCCTATTGATGCTTCTTACAAATACCTCGTGTAGATTTTGGATCTGAAAGGCACGCCAAACCAACAACAGAACGAACTAATGGACACCTTCCTCACGATCACAAGCACAAAGACCGATTTGGAGAACACCTCCTTCCTCTCTTCGCTCGACATGGATCCCGCTCACTCCTCCACCCTTGCTAACTCCAACCTTGGTAGTCCGAGTGGGAGCCGCGTTAATCTACTTACAGGCACGGGTGGCGAGAGTATCCTCGCCGCTCTGACATCGCCATCGTTCACGAGCGCGCTCAGTGGGAGCGACACGCCCCCGCGCGAGCAGCAGCCGGCGAGCAAGTTCTCAGACTTCAGGCGTTTTGTCAGCTTTGCCGTAAGGCGGGATTCAGTGCAGCACCCATGATGTTTTGCGAGGACCCTGCGCGATGAACGCGGTTCGGAGAGTAGAAACAGGGCTGCTTGTCTTATATCGTATGCTATGTTTATCGTTTGCGTGTTTCAGTGAGCGTGTCTTTTGTTATAGGGGTATTCAAAGTTAGCTTTGGAAGGCTTTGGACGCTTTAGATTTCTATGCGTTTCAGAGTGAGAGCATGTCTTTCATTTGTTTTGTTATGTAAATCATTTACGTGTCACTGATACGTTTCAGCTTCTTCTATCTCATCAGTATGACAAAGCTGTATGTGAGGGGCGCAGTACATAAATCCAGTAGGTCCGCCGCCTAGGTAGGATTCGCCCCAGGATCAAGCATGACGCAGCCTTTGCGAGTTGCCGTTTGGTGAGTTGTTCGACTCTAAATCGACGTGTACCTTTGATGAACGTTGGAACGGACAGCGGCGGTGGTATCGGCGGTCTCTTTCTCACTCTGGTGTTGAAGAAATACGCCGGTTCGAAGAGCCTGCTTGTCGACGTGTATGAAGCAGAGTCCTCTTATGCCGAAATTGGTGCCGGCATCACAGTATGGGGCAGGACTCGAAGTGTGATGGAGACACTCGAGTTGGGCGAGGCGTTGGCGAAGTGGCCGGACGTGCCGTCCATAACTTTTAGGAAGAGTGATACGCAGGAGTCCTTTGAGTTCCATAACCACTTTATCCCAAGTATGTCCCTTATTTTCTCCGTAGTCCGAATCGCGCTCACATAGTATTCATCTTGCAATTGAGATGGAAAGGCTCTTCCGAGGACAGAAATGCTGAAGCTCTTGGTGAACAACCTGCCCCCAGAGGACCCTTCTTTTCTGACCAAGCACTTCAATAAACGCTTGACTTCGTACGAACAAGACGCGGACGGTGTGACACTTCACTTTGCAGACGGCTCTGTGGCGCAAGCAGATATCCTCGTTGGCGCTGACGGCGTAGGTTCTGCTACACGTAAGAAGATGTACAGCGACCTTGCGGGCCGCGTGCGCTCTACGGACGCGAAGAGAGCTGAAGAGTTGACGAATTTTATCCCACCAAGCTGGACGGGGACGTATGCGTACCGGACGCTCCTTGAAAGAGAGAAAATTGTGGCAAAATCCCCCACTCACACATGCCTTAGAGGAGTAACATCGGTACGTCACTATATTTCATTAGTCTTGAGTAGCATGCACTTAGAGCCTTTCTAGTGGACTGGTAAAGACAAGGTACCATCGTTCACGCCTTCTGGGTCGCTGGTGCTTAGATCCTGTGCCTAGCATGTCATAACATACCCAATATCTGCGACTCTCATCAACGTCCTCTTTTTCGAGACTATTCCAGGTGGCTTGGGAACACCATTGACAGGCCCTACTGTATCAACCGCGTCGAGAGAAGAAGTGATCAACCTGTACAAGGACTGGGAACCAGAACTTCGCATCATCACAGAGGTATATATTTTAACTCCGTATCGCGCCCGCTCGGTTCAATAACCAATCACCGTTTTCAAGGTCGTTGGAGAAACATCGAAGTGGGCGATTAGCCAGATCCAAGGTTTGCCGAGCTACGTCGACGGGCGCGTTGCCCTCCTGGGAGATTCGGTAGGAACCAACGTCACGCTTCATCCCACCGAAAACTGATCGTTTTGTCAGGCACATGCCATGACCACTCATTTCGGCGCAGGTGCAGGACAGGCAATCGAGGACGCGTACATCCTTGGCCGTTTGCTAGCGCAGCCTGCCACAAACCTGTCGAACGTCAAAGACGCGCTGCGCATCTACGACGCCATCCGCCGGCCGATAGCGAGCGAGATCGTTGAGCGGTCTCTGAAGATGGGCTTCCTCTACGAATTGTCCACAGACGGCTTGCCTCCGGGCACAGACGCGGCGAAGGTGCATGCTGGCGACCGGGACGAGCTACAGAAGGTGATAAAGGTGATGACAGACCTCTGGACATGGCACAGTGCTAGCATGCCGGAAGAGGATTGGCTGCGGGCACAAGAGAAACTCCGAACCGCGTAGAGGCGTTTCAGAGTGCCTGGGTTAGAAATGTGTGTGTTGTGCGAATTATTATGGAATTGCTCCCGCGTGTTTCAACTCCTTGTGTTCCACTTATGCGACGCAGCTTCATGTCTGGTTTGCAATGGTATATAGACCCAATATGCGTACGGTCAACTTGCAGTCCAGGACCTTAACATGAAGCAGCCTCTTCGAGTTGCAATTTGGTGAGTGGCTCGAACTTGTACACCGTCGTGTATCCCGAATTGACTGTCTGAGACGGGCAGCGGTGGTGGTATCGGCGGCCTCTTTCTCGCCCTTGTCCTGAAGAAATATGCCGGGTCGAAAACCTTGCTTCTCCACGTGTATGAGGCAGGGCCACATTTCACTGAGACTGGCGCAGGCATTTCGATCTGGGACAGGACTCGGAGTATGATGAAGACGCTCGGTTTGGACGAGGCATTGGCAAAGCAGGCAGTTCAGATGCCGTCCCTTACCTTCAGGAAGAGTGATACAGAGGATCCTGTTGAGTGGTACAAGTTTTTCAACCCAGGTGGGTGTATGGCTCATCCACGCACATTATCAACTCGTCTTGTACTGTCACAGATGCTAGAGCTATTCCCAGGACAGAGATGCTGAACTTTCTGGTGGACAACCTGTACCTAGAGAACACGTCCTTTCTGACCACGCACTTCTCCAAACGCTTGACTTTATACGAACAAGACGCGGACGGTGTGACACTTCACTTTGCAGATGGCTCTGTGGCGCAAGCAGATATCCTCATCGGCGCCGATGGCGTAGGTTCTGCTACACGCAAGAAGATGTACAGCGACCTTGCGGACCGCGCGCGCCCCACGGGTCCGAAGAGGGCTGAAGAACTGACGGAGCTCATCTCACCAAGTTGGACGGGGACGTACGCGTACCGGACGCTTCTCAAAAGCGAGAAAGTCGTAGACAAATCACCGAACAACCCAATTCTTCGCGGCGGGATAACTGTATGTTCACATGTTACCGACCATTAGTAGCGGACACTCATGGTCTCTCCAGTGGTGCGGCAAAGACAGGGTATTGTAGTTCAGAGCCTTCATCTTGTCCGTGTTGACAGATCTCGCGCCCAGCACGTCGTCACATATCCGATATCTCCAACGGTCATCAACGTCATCTTTTTCGAGACCGTCATAGGTGGCTTGGGACAGCCGCTGACGGGCCCTACGACGTCGATCGCGTCGAGAGAAGAGGTCATCAACCTGTACAAAGGCTGGGAACCAGATCTATGTGCATTCACGGAGGTGTGTTTTTAACCTCCCCATGTAGCTCCTATTTCCTGTGTCTGATCGTCGTTCCCAAGATCGCCGGAGAGACTTCGAAGTGGGCCATCAGTCAAGTCCGTGGCTTGCCGCACTACGTCGACGGGCGCGTTGCCCTCCTGGGGGACTCTGTACGTTCGAGCATCAGCTCCCTTCCAGCCCCACAGCTGACCTTTCTTACGAGGCGCATGCCATGTCCACCCATCTCGGCGCAGGAGCGGGCCAGGCGATGGAGGACGCATACGTCCTCGGCCGTCTTCTGGCGCACCCCGCGACAGACGTGTCGAACGTCACAGACGCGCTGCGCATCTACGACGCCGTCCGGAGGCCGGTGGCGAGCGAGGTCGTCGAGCGGTCTCTCAAGGCCGGCCTCCTCTACGAGTTCGTCGCGGAGGCGTTTCCACCAGGCGCGGACGCGGCGAAGGTGCACGCTGGCGATCCGGACGAGCTGCAGAAGGTGGCGGAGGAGGTGATGGACATGTGGGTGCGGCAAAACGCGAGCACGCCGGAGGAGGACTGGCTAAAAGTCCAGGAGATGCTCCGGACGGCGTAGTTCATGCAGGGAGAAAGCAGAGCGACTAGAATAAGCAGACGACTCTAGAGTACGTACAAGGCGCGTATGCAAAAAGAGAAGAAGAAAAGTAATGCGTGCAGTGGGACATGGTATGGGTTGACAGAATGCGGGGTATACGTACAACTGTCCATGCTGGGGCACACTGCCTACTGTACAATGCGGTGAGGAAAAGGCGGAACCGGGCACAGCAAAGCAACAGAATAATAAGTTAAAAGGGGGGGGGCGGCCTTGTATTGTACAAGGTCCCCCTGGAGAGATGACACGTCGGCTACGATTCCCGAGTAGACGGCCGGCTCGGCATGAGCGACGAGAACGACGGCCCCGACGCAATGGCGCGCGGCCGGCGCCAGACCGCGCTCGACGACGGCGTAGGTGCCGACAACCGCGGCGTGCCGTACGGCGTCGACGGGTCCGGTCCCGCGTTCGGCGAGCCGGTGAGCTTCTGCACGATGTACGGCCGCGTGTCTGGCGGGGACTGCCCCGTGGACGCGAGCGACGGCGCGGGCGCGGGCGGCATCGGCGGGTGCCGCTGCTGCTGCTGCTGTTGCGCGCCGCGGGACTCGGCGCCAGACGTCGACGCGCTCGACTGGGTCGAGTACCGGAAGTGGATGTCGCTCACCGTGAGCGGGATCGAGTCCGTCGGGGACGGGAGCAGCTGCAGCTCCGTGAGGTCCGTCGGGTGCACCGACTGCGGGACGTCGGCGTCGTCTGCGCCGATGCGCAGCTCGGGTACGCTTAGCGGCGGGAGGGGCACGGCCTGTAGCGAGATGGCGGGCGAGAGAGAGGGGTGGCTCGACGTCGGCCCGCCGGCGAGGGTCATCGAGAGCGCGAGAGACATGCGGTTGTCGCGCGGGGCCTGCGAGTCGCTGCTGCATTGCCCACTGCTCGACTCAGGGCCGGTGCTGGCCTGGCGCGAACGAGATGATCGGGTAGACGCCGACTGTCGCGCAGAGCGGGAGCCACTCGACTGCGACGCGGAGGAGTCCATGTCGAGAAAAGAATAGCGCGGATATGACCTGACTTCGCCTTCACTCGTGGGGATGTCCGAGGACACCTCGGAGGCGCGGTGACCCCAGTGGAAAGCGTTGCGCAAAGATTGGGGAAGTGAGATGGCAGACGCGACGCTGCGCGTTGACTTTCTTTGAGGCCTCGACTCGCTGTCTTCGGGGGCTTCTTCGAAGTTAACTCGCAACGGCGAGTTATTGGATGGAGATAAAGTGGTCAGTGTAGTATTTTGGTTGTCTGCGCGGAGAGTCATGGAAGCGTCGGTAGGCAGAGTCTGGACCCGCTTTAGCAGGATGCCCTGCGGCCCTTCGCGGGAAATACTAAGGGACGATCGCATCTCTCTAGGGCCGCGCGGTTTGGGGCTGCGGGGGATGGAAGAAGTGGGAGAGGCGGCATGGAAGATGACAGGCGAGGGGGTAGTGCGTGGAGGCGGCGTCTGGGCGAGCGGCGCGGTCGACGCGAATCTGCGCGTCGGCGAGGGAGAGTCGCCCTCCGTGCGGACGCGCACATAACTCTGCCCGGGGAGCTCAGGCAGATTGATGGCATAGCTGCCGTCCGAGTTCTGCGACGCGTGCCGCGCATCGCGGGGGTCCTCGGGGTCCCCGCGCCCTCGCGCCTCCTCGTCCTCGTCCTCATCCTCGTCCCCGTCCCCCGCCTTGCTGTGCGAGATGTCCAGGATCTCCGCATCGACCGATACGCGGCCGCGATCGTTCTTCTCGGGGTCGGCGTGGTGCCGCAGCCGTGGGAGAAACGACAGCCTGCGGTTCGAGACGCGCGGGTTCACGATGAAACCCTGTTTGCGCTGCCGGACGAGGCGACGGCGGGCGTAGCAGACGCTGAGGGCGACGATCACGACCACGGCGAGGGCGGCACCCACGGCGATCGCGGCGATCGTGCCCGCGCCCAGTCTCCTCGACGTGGACATCGCTGGTTGCGTCCTGCCCGCGAGAGTCCTGTCAAGCACGGCGCTGCACCAAGCTGAGAGGTTCGACGCTCACCCGTTGCCGTCCTCCACGGTGGTGACATTCACGCTGCCGATGATGAGCAGAGAGCCCTGTGCGCCGGCGGACGCGCCAGCGTTGACGATGTCGAGCTGGTGCACGACGCCGGCGTTGAGTCCAGTGCGGAAGAAGAGCAGCGTGGGCGACGAGAGGTTGAATGATGACCGGGCAGAAAAAGTTTCAGGCGCGCCATTGTCCAGTGATATATTGTACGAGCCCGAAAGCGGTGTCGTTAGCCCTGCGAGCGTCACTGATGTACCTGCGAAACCGACCGATCAAACAACGCAGGGCTGTCGTATCAGCGTGGGACGCCGGCAGGTGGCGGGCGGCAACATCTCACCATTGAACCGCACAGACGCCTGATCTCCGATGTTGCTGCTACTGTGGAACGATGCATTCTGGCCGGGCAACAGATTAGAGTTGAAAGACCATTGTCCGCGGAATGAAACCGAGTCGTCGGCGAGTGTCTGGGTCACCAGAGTCACATTTGAAGATCTAGACATACCAGTTAGTTGGCTGGCGGGCATGGACAGAAAGTGCTCTACGAAAGCCAAAAATGCAACGAGGTCTTATCCCGGCGTCCACTATCTACAGGAATGATGGGAAAAGGTGCTTCATCGCAGAAGTTGTAATAGGGGGAAATTGGTCTTCGAAGAGGTCCGCCTTGTGCTGAGGAGGGGGACTCACTGGTTCGTGGGCTGCGCAGGGAGACCGCTAGTGATCACAGCACGGTCGAACTGAAGTATGTCGTCGAGATCGTCAGGATTGTGCATCGTAAGCTCGACGACGTGCTCGCCGTTCGTCAAGTCCGTGAAGGAAGCCAGAACGCTCTTCGCTGGGTCGGAGTCCGGGGAGAACGAAAACGCGTAGTTCGTGGTCGCCGTTCCGTCCAGGGCAATAGAGTACGAGACCGTGGACGGAAACCCCGATGTGGACGTAGGGAAGAAGCCGCAGAGTGATACAGCAGTGCCTAGGCAAAATTGTCAGGGGGCGCGCAAAACTAACGTAATAATGGCGGAGCCGAAACAAGGCGGCCACTCGTGTGTGATCCGCTCCTGCGCGTCGTGTGCCTGCGCGCACACCTGAGACACCCCGACGGCGGGGCCCCCTCGCCGCGTCGGCGGAACCACGCACGCGCCCGTCGCGCGTAGCTATGTGACGCGAGGGGCTCACAGCAACGGGCACAGCGAACGCCCCGCAGGCCAGTGTCGAGCGGAGCTACGAAACCGAAAGGCAGCGACTCACCGTTCCAACGCAGGGATAGTGTCGCTCCGTCTGCGGAAGTCACATGCAGACTGGTGCCGACACCCTCCCCGTTAGCTGGGTCTGGCGTGAAACCCGTCTCGGAGTAGGACGGGTTCCAGCCGGCGGTCAGGTTGGGGCTACCATGCGTATCCGCAAAAGGTGCGTAGGCGATGGTGGGAGATGTGTCGTCGATGGTGATGACGATTTGCGTCTCATTTGGGGACGAGGGTAATATCTGTGCCATGCATGCATGTAGGCTGCGAGAGACGGCCTGGCAGACACCCGTGTGCGGCGGATCTCGCAGAGACGAGCTGGAGGGGACCTTGCAGACCAGCTGCTGCAGGACAAGGCAGCAGGAGAGGCCAGGGTGGAGCGATCCTGTTTCCACGCACTAAAGGGCAGGATCAGGGTCTCGCGAAGGATGTGCGGGCTCACGGCACTCGTGCGTCGGGCCTTTGACCCGCGTGGAGAGACGCTGGGATGTCCGTGACCTGCCTTGTGAGCCGCCGAATTCAGGGCTCGAGCTCCTTCGGGCAGGCCTGCTTAATGGCCCCCGGAGGTCCTTGATACAGCGAAATGAATGAAATCAAACACGCCCCCAGACATCTCATTGCCATGTCGACAGCAAAGACGTCCACTTGTCGAACTGATCCTTCCCGAGCCCACTTTCCCGCCGTTTGAAGACTGTTGCGGACTTGGGCGGGTCGAGTGCACCATACGACGTGTTTTATATTCCATCCCGAATTTGAGCCTTGTGGTCGTCGGGTAGCGTTAGTGCGGAAGGGAGACGAGCCGGGCACGCCGGGGCGATCCCTGATCGGCGCCTGATGGGATCTTGCGTTCTGAAAAAGTAAACCGTTCAGGTTCATTGATTATTATTCAATCAGGTCTGCTAAGGAACATTGCATGTGGCGTTGGATTGTTTCGTCTCCTTGGATTGAGATAAGCTACACCTCAGGAACCGACCGCTGCGTCGCCTATGGCCCGCAATCTCACCGTCTATCAGCGTTGCCCTGGGGTGGACGCACCATCGATAGCCTCCGATGTGGCTCCTCTACCTCAGCGACGCGCTCACGCGGGCTGACGCACAACCGCAGCCATGTCAACACCACTTGCCTGCCAGGGTAAACTCTTCGCGTCATCCGACCTTATCTCGTCATGCCCTGCCTACCGCCCATTTATGCACTGATGCTCCCATTGCCACAAACGCCCTCTTCGCCGTGTCGGCTCAGCTACAAGCGGCCGCCAAGGCGGCGGGGCACGCGCATGGACGACTGATCCGACCGGGCTCGGAGAATGCGACGGCGTAGATGATTGGCAGGCCGCAGCTCGTCGTTCCGCGCATGCAGAGTGGCATTCCACCAAGCATCCTGTCGCGTATGAAACGACGGGCCCACTGTGCTGCGAAGGCCCAGTTCATTGTCATTGTCCAGGCACCATCTGGCTTCTAGCATGACCTGTCCTTGTGCAGCACGAGCAGAAGACTTGCCAACTATCAAGAAGGAGGATGTGATGCAGCTCGGCCCATCCTTTCCCACAGTGGGAGGAAGTCTGGTCATCGGCCACCAAGGTTCGATGGTCGTGCACATCGTTCGCTGTCACCACGATAGACAGATGACAACGCGCTCATGTCGACAACGAGAGGCTCGCGGATGGCTCGGGTGGCCAGCATGTCGTCGGCCCTGCGCGTATCTGATAGCCTCAGCCGAACCCACCCCGACGCGCAGCATGTTCCAACTTACTTGCACCATCACTCCCAAAGCCCGGACCTGTGCAGCAAGGTTCAGCTACCGGCGCCACGATCACTGACATGGTCCACAAACAGAGGCGGTGCTCTCAAGCACTTGCCACCGTCATCACAGCTGCTCTATTGGCCGCGGTAGACGTGCGGAACAAGAACCTGGCAAGTTCTCCAAGCTTCCTCCATTGTCCTAGGCCAGAGGCCACAAATCCTGACGGTTCTCGGCCCACACGTTCTTGTGCTAAATAAGACGGGAGAAGTGAGCATTCAGTTCTTGTCAGTGATAGGCCAACCTGGGCGTTTCGTAGGTGATTGGGAGGAGACGAAGGCCGGAGGCGACCCTGCAACGGGCGATCCGCATGCGAATGCGTACCGTGTGCGAAACTCTTGCCATAACCGGCGGCGCTTGCAGCGCGCGGCACTCACGCCCCTGGCGCTCCCCAGGGCGCTCCCTGCCGCAGGCCTAGGTTGCTCTCATCATCATGCCTCTCGTTCGCTCACACCGACAGAGCCCGAAATCACGAAACAGAGCACTGACCTCGATGATAACAGCGACAGCGCAGAGGCAAAACCAATGACGCTGCCCACGCTCGCGCCCAGCACGACGCCGTACTTCGCGTCCTGCCTGGCCAGGATTCACGAGGCCCATCCGGATTTCCCGTTGGATCCGGTCATCCTCCAGTCAGTTCTCCTCTGCCTGATTGCTGGCAGCGCCGACGACGCACTGCATCCGTGCAAGAACCTCATACTGCGCACGAACGCAGATGACGTTGGCCTCGTGCTCAACCTCGCGACCCTGGTAGGCACCCCGTTGTCTCCTCCGTTGACATCGTCCTAGCTTGATATGCAGTGGTACGCTCCTGCGCCACTGCAGGTGCTCGTGGACCGCGCCAGCAGTCGCGCATGTGGCGTCCTAACGACCTGTGCTGCGCTTCGTGAATATAGTTCCTTTGGCAGTAACCATCTCCTGCTCCACGATAGTCTCCGCATGGTTCACGGCCTGTGGCTACAATCAAGCCGTTATTAACCCAGTGATACAGTGTCCATGCTCTTCTCGTCCAGCTGGGAGAATAGACCTTCTTATCCGGGCATTGTTTCTCTGCCTTGCTTCCCTCCAAATCGCTTCTCTTTCATCTGTACAAGCAGAAGCCTGATCTTTCGTACTCTATGGCTGTGTGATACCGTTGAACAGATGTTGACCTTATTCATCTAGATCTTGACCACAATCTTTGGATTTCCCACTCACAGATACAAAGCAAAGCAAGAGTCCGCTACTCTCTCAAGAAGGGGACAAGACAACACCGCCATCCCCGAGCACCCCACAGTCTTCCTGCGCAAGCTCTTCTTCCGAGAGGAGAAGCACGCCTTTCGACACAGCGCATCCGGGGATCCGCGCCATCGCGAGCGTGTGCGGCGGCCGGGGAGCGCGCAGCGATCCTCGGCGCTGTCCGCGACGAGCCCTGCGGACTCGTTCCTCGCGTCGTCTCCGCTCTCGACGCCGGTGCACTCGCGCGAGAGCACCGCAGACTCGCAGACGGACGTGACGAGCGTCGCGTCGTCGCGGCGCGTGCCCGCCAGCGCGGCGTCGACGCTCCGGATGCGGCCGCACGCGCCGCGCATGCAGACGGATCCGACGGGCATGCGCCGGAGCACTGATGTGCAGCAGATACCCATTGAGCATCATCAGGCGGGCTCGCATCCGCGTCCGGTCGCGTGCCTGCCCAAGGCTGTCGTCGTCTCCGGCCTGGAGCACGTCGAAATACCCGCGCAGAGGCTCCTTCTCAGAGCGCTGCAGTATCGGAAGGTGTCCCTCGACACCGATGTTATCCCGGGGCCGTTCGTCAATGTTCCCTCCGAAGGGATCCTCGACCTTCCCGCCGACTTCATCATGGTTTACGTGTGCCCGTTGGACCCACACGAACGGCCTGCAATCTTGGAGACCCTGGTATGTTGGCCTCGGAATGTCCCCGTTTTCCAAGCTGATTCCAAAATAGCTCGACCGCTTCGCTATGAGTGCAGATGTCATTGTCTCGCCTGCTGTTCGCCAGGCCTACACGACTTACCGTTCCTCTGTCAACACGCCGCTCTCGGCCTCGTTCAACTCAATATCCCCACGCATGCAGATATCTTCTTTGTTCCCGCACGATGCGTCTCCGTCGTCTCCGTCCCCCCGCTTGCGGCCCCTGCCTCTTGGCTCCCCCTCCCAGCTAACACCCTCCGCAAACCACGTCATCACCTCCGAAGACCTGCAACGGCTCCGCGCACTCACGAAGCCTCTGCCACCCGCGCTCCCCATTCCGTCCTCCTCCTCGCCCGACTGCGCCGAGGCGTACACCTTCATCCACCCCTCCCTCAACATCTACCTCGCCGACCTCTTCTCCGCCGCGCGGCACCACCCGCTGCTCGACGGCGGGCTGCTCACGCTGCGCGCGCACCGCGACGCCACGGCGCTCGTGCGCGCGTACCGCGTGCTCTGCGGGTGCAGCCTCGGCGCAGAGCTCGTCGCGAGCGTCGCCGCCGCCGCGCCGCGCGACACCGCGTCCAGCGAGGACGACGACGATGACGAGCTCCGCACGACCGACGCAAACGTGCACGCGTGGGACGACGGCGGCGGCGACGGCGACGGCGAGGACGCGTGGCTCGGCGCCGAGATCCGCGCGGGCCGCCGCAAGGCGGGGAGCGTGCGCAGCGTCGAGGTGCGCGTCGAGGGGCCCGACGCCGACGCCCACGCTAGGGGCCAGGGCTGACCACGCCTCCCCCGGTCATGCACACGACGGGCCGCCGCACGCGCCGCGCACGGCGGCGTTCGCGAGCCGCGACAGCTTCGCGCCGAGCAGCCTCATGGCGCCGCTGCCGGCGGCGCCCGAGGTGTGGGACGTGAGCGAGATCGACGTCGGGCGAGTCTTCCCGCGCGCGGTCTCGCACCGGCTGCGCGTGCGCGCGGGCCCCGACGACGAGATCCTCGGGAGCATCATGCACCCCGCCGTGCGCGACCAGCCGGCGCCCGAGCTTGCCGCGCCGGAGAGGAGGACGGTGAAGCAGATCGTCGTCGGCATCCTCGCGGACGTCTGACGGGCGGCCGCTTCCGTCTTCGCTCGATCCTGCTGCACTTCTCTTCGGTTCTCTTCTCACCATGTTTAATGCCGCGAGTTCTCGATGTTGCGAGAGATAGCATTGTATAGAGTAGTTAGTAATAGCGGTCAGGTTGGCCTAGCAACTTCCGGCAGTTATGATCAGCCCATCGCGCATTCCATTCATCAACCCTAGCATTATGATACACCGTGGAACATGTATACAGTCATCCTCTAAGATATCTCTTGTACACTGGGTTATTCGTCTCTTCTACGTATGGGTATCCGAGGTTCTGGAGAAATTTATCAAAGTCGGTGGCGTCACCCGGAGGTACTTGAATGCCTGCGAGTACCTTTCCAATGTCTAGAGGTATACATTAGCGCGATGCGGCAGACGCCGAGGTATATATACTTACCCGCACCATGGTTTCGGTAGTGGAACAGTGAGATGCTCCAGCCCAAGTCTGCATGTATGCCCTCCAAAAAGCGTCGCAGGGCACCAGGCCTTTCGGGGAATTCTGTGGGAACCCATATTATAACTCGTCCTACGTCGAACGCGACAAAACATACCGAATCGGAACAACCTCTCGTTCGGAACGTTACTGGCCCCGCCGACCATATATCGCGCATGGCTCTTGGCAAGCTCATCGTCACTGATATCGAACCCTCTCATGCCCTTCTTCTCGAGCTGCGTAAGCACCTCCGCGACCTCCTTCTCGCGCTGGGTACTCTCGAGCGTGAACGATATGTATATCTGCGCGAGCGTCGCATCATTGTAGCGGTAGATGAACTCGGTCGTCGCGCGGGGATGAATCGTGCTGTGAAGCGCGAAGAAGCTACCTGGCTTTTCGGGGATCTCGACGCTGAGGAGAGCCTCGCGGCCCTCACCGAGCTCAGCACGCTCAGCAACGAAGCGCAGGCGGTCGAAGTTCATGTTGGCGCCGCTGACGACGGCGACGAACCGCTTATTTGCGCCAACCAGGTAGTTTTGTGTGATGTATTTTTTCAAGCCTGCCACAGCGAGTGCACCTGCTGGTTCAGTGATGGATCTCGTCTCTGTGCAAGGGTCAGACTTGGTCCGTGTAGTGTATTTGCAAGCGTACCCTCGAAGATATCTTTGATAGCAGCACAGATCTCGTCCGTGTCGGCCTTCACTACCCCGTCTAGCAGCTGTTTGCACATTCGAAAGGGTTCTGCGCCAACGATTTTTACCGCAGTACCGTCGCTGAAAGGTCCGACCTCCCCCAGTGTAACTCTGTCTCCCTTCTGCAAGCTCCTCTCCATGGCGTCTCCATCAAATGTCTCGACACCGACAACCTTCGTCTTCGGGTTGCCAATGCGCTTCACGTATGCTGCAATGCCGGAGACGAGCCCGCCTCCGCCAATGGCGGCGAATATGCCATCTAGGTCCTCCGCGTCCGGGATCTGCTTGAGGATCTCCATGCCGCAGGTGCCCTGGCCGGCGATGACGAGCGGGTCATCGTACGGTGGGACGAAGGTGAGGCCGTGCGCCTCCGCGAGGCGCGCACACTCGGTTTTGGCCTCGTCGAAGTCGCTGCCGTGTAGGACGACCTTGGCGCCGAGGCGGGACACGTTTCGGACCTTGATCGTGGGCGTGGCCTTGGGCATGACGATCGTGCACGGGATGCCGAGCTTCTGGCCCGAGAGCGCGACGCCCTGCGCATGGTTGCCTGTGCCGGCCGTGCCCGGCGGTGAGAAACGGTCTGCGGGTGTTTGCAGGAACACGCACGACACTAACCGGCACTGCAGGTCACGACGCCCTTCCACCGCTCGTCCTTGGGAATGTTGGCCATGAAGTTGTACGCCCCGCGGATCTTGAAGCTGAAGACATCCTGCAGGTCCTCGCGTTTCAGCCAGATCTCGTTCCCGAACCGTGCGCTGAGATTTTCGCAGCGAATGAGTGGGGTCTCCTTGACAAAGTCGTACACTTTTGAGTTTAAAATAAGCCTCAGGTAGTCCGGAGTGCCATCGGGGAGAAGGAAGTGTTTGGCCAGTCGCGGGTACGAGATAGGCTCAGGAGCGTGGGACGAGTATTCTAGCGTTGCAGAAACAGACATGGCCGAGGTAAAGAAGACAGACCAGCCCTGGGCAGACGAGAAACGGAGCAAGAGACCTGCATATGGTGACTCGCCTTCTAAGGACGAAAAAGGAAACCCACAGATGTCGTCTCCTCATGACATACGTCTTACGTACAGATCCCGCCTCCGCGATGCCTATTCTGTGTCGAGTACTTAGCACTACAGGGCTCCATAGAAAGTCTGTACGAAAGAGAGTAAAGTGAGATATAATGGGATACAATGATATGAGTAAAGCCGCATTAAGCATAATGACGATACTGCCTGAACGACACGAGAGCATAAAATCCCCAATAGCCAATGAATACAACAGAGAGAGAAGACCAAGCAAGATAGGGAGAAAAGTCTGCGAAGTGTACCCTGGGTCATGAAGCCACTGTCCTCCGCTCTCTGTCCTTCACCTTCACACCTGGCCCAAATCGCTCTTGAAAGTTGATCAGCTCCTCCATGAGCTCCTCCATCTGCTTCATCGTCTCCAACCCAGACTCTGGCCCGAGGCACTCGAGGATCAGGCTTGACATGGCTTTCGACTCGGCGATGTCTAGTGGTAGGTCTACGGGTCCTGCAATAGGTTCAGCATCAGGGGACGTCGCGTTGCTGTCTTTGCCGGAGCCCGGTTCGATGGAGCGGAGCGCCTCTTGCCGGGTACGGGCCTCCTTGAGTGCCTTTTCCACCGCCTCCCTCCGCCTGCTGCGTTCTGCTGCATTTGCCTGCTCCCGTCCCACCCACTCTACTAGCGCGCGGACACGTTTGTTCATGTCAACGACGCTCATTCGCTTGCCGGGCCACTTGACTTTGACACCTCGCTCGGTCGTCGTGCGGTCCCCAACATCGACGCCGTTTGTGAGCGACCCAAAACCGCGGACTTCGAGTGGTCGCGGTACTTCAGTGGGCAACATGGGTTCGAGGTGTGCCAAGTAGTCTGGGAGGTTCCAAGAGGTAAAGAGCGGTTGTTGGGAGACGGCGTACGCGTGGGAATTGTGATATGCGCGCGAGGCGGCGGTGTTGGACTGGTATGTTGCTTGCGCGTGGCCGTTCAGGCCGTTCGCTTGGGTGCGACGTGTGCCATGCTCTGCGGCTGCGCGACGGTGGTGAGAAGACATGCATAAACCCCGGACATCAAAAGCGTACGAACCTTTCTTGCCTTGTCGCCGACTCGTGCTTGTCGCTAAGTTCAATGACAGGTCACGTGAGTGACGTCATTAATCAAAGCAATAATGACCACAATGTTCTCACCTTCGTCTCCATCGACGGACATGCTGTCTTGTATTTGGGCTTTACGCGCCCCGCCGCGTCTCTGCCTCGATGCTGCAGGCCTTGATACAGACGAATTTGACGTGCCTCCAGTCGATGGCGGAGGCAGTGAAGGTTTCGTGGTCGTCACCGGGGATGCTTCGGGATGAGGGTTCGTAACATGTGTCCGGTCTGATACTATGGACGCGGACCGGGCGCGTTTCGTTGGATTGCTAGAGACGCGTGTAGATCGTCAACGCATTGGAGGATATTATATGGCAAAGCAGCGCACCTGTCATCATCTGTTCTCTTCCTCTTCCGCCGTGCGCTGACAATCTCTGGCTCAGGTTCTGGTACGGTGTCGCCTGGCTTCGCGTCCAATCCGTTGATCGCGGCCGGCGATGTCACGAGTGGTTCCCGACTTGATACATCCCTTGATGCCTCAACTGCTGCCGCTTCTGCCGCCGTCGCCTCAATGAGGGCTTGCATCTCTTGTTCGTATGCGGCGTCCCTGCTGTTCATGGTATTTCGTCGCTTAGGGGGTTGTTTTATGAGGTACGTTGGTGAGTGGGATCGCGAGCTGCGCGACTGGTTGACGTGAGAAACGATCGAATTTCCGCGGGGACGCTTGCCGTGCTTTCTGTAAGGCATAGGGGAGTGAGAATGGTGTATAAGTCAAACGAGTGACGACACGCATACTTCAGCAGTTCAGGATAGAGATCTGGTCTGCACTTTTCGCAAAAATAGTCTTGTGGCATGGAATCAGGGGAGTCGAAGCCCATGCAGCTGCCATGTTGCCAAGCGTGACAGCGGTCGCATTCAGCCATAAATTCTGAAGTTTCAGACTCGTCGATGCCTTGAGGCAGCAGAAGCGTCGAGTCAGCCTTGCATTCGTCAAGATATGAGCGCGACGACACCACGCACCTGATTCCTGACAGATACATCGTGTTACCCCTGCTTCTTCCTCTTCCTCCTCCTGCGCATCTGCACCCGTTGTCGACGAGCCTGCCTTAGGGTGGTCCTCATCGACGGGAATGTCGATGCTGAGCGAGCCCTTCTCTTTCTCCTTGCCCTTTCGCTTCGTTCGGCCGTTGGCGGTGCCGTTGACACCGTTCCGGTGAATATCGTCGAGGCTCTCGTCAATGTCTTCGTTCTTCGTCCGTTTGCCACGCCCTGAACTGCTGGAAGACGGCAACGGCGGTCTTTGTGAGCTGCCCTGTGGTTTGGGGGCGTTCTCGGTCGTGGGTGAGCCAGTAGGTGACTTGCTGCTCGATGCGGCGGGCACAGAGCGTCGTCCAGAGCGTCGGGGTTCTTTGGGAGACGGAGGGGGACCCATTGTCGCCACGTTGGCCATCGTGGCGGAGGTCAAACGGGACGTGGGCCGTACGAGCACGGGAGGCGGGGGAGAGTGTACTGAACAATTATTGGATATTGGGCAAGGATTTTCGGGCTTCCGATAAGTCTCGTATCAAAACTCTCGGAAATGGGCCCAAAGCCTTGCGCCCTGCCGCTCTGTTCACCCTGAGAGATAGTTTTGATTCGGAAAATATGCTACGACTCCTTCTGAGTCTTTTAGGTGTTTCTGCAGAGCTTCAAGCTCGCCAGTTACTCCTACTCTCGAAGAGGCCATGGTGGTATGTATGATAATTTAGGCAAAATGCTATTCTCGCGAATAATGGGCGCCAAGTTGTCTCCGCGGTGAACGCACTGTCCAGTCCAGCGAAACCACCAGCACATCGTCCACAGCTATCTGCTCGGCTGCGGCCTTCGGCGTGATATGAATGGCACACAGAACTCGCAGAACTATTCCTCTACAGGCCGCGCAGATTCGCCTGTTTTCTCTGACATGGGCACAGAGGAGGCTCCGGACGATGACCGCCTCGGTGACTACTCTGCACGTTTGGAAGAGCTCATGAGCGATGATGAGCCTTCGAACGCTCACAATCAAGAAGACAGCGACGACGACGAAAGGGGCGAGGGTTTCTCTTACACCGGTGTTGATGCGGAGCCTTCTGGCACCTACCGTGAACAACTACGCGACGTCCTTGGGCCGGAGCACGAGGATGATGACGTTTCCGACCCGCCAGAAGTCATCCCGACTATCCTACGTGACGTGCAGGAGAAGGAGATCTTTGAAGCATCTATGGACGACGAAGCGAGGGTGAGTCTGTCTAATTCCTTTCGACACCGCAGTTTCCGATATGCTTCATATAGCCTGCAGATGTGTCCTCAGACCTATCACCTGCCCCTTCGTCCTCCGCATCGGCATCGGGGTACCTTTCTCCTCCAAAGGTTGTGGTCTCTCCTGTATCAGGCGTACCGACGAAGGTGATGAGGCCCTTCCTACACCCTACCGTCTCCCGACTTCGCTCTACTACGCCCCAGGCTTCACGGACCTCATCGGTTACAAGTGTCGGAACGATTGACTCCAAGCTCGGCATTTCCACGCCCGCATCTCATTTCTCAGCTCTCTCGCCTACCTCGTCCCAATCCAATCTCCCGGAGGCTCCTACGCATGCTCACGACGCGCCTTCCCAGGATGAACGCGAGGTGTTCCGATGGTCGCAGCTGCGGAACATCACCGAGCTTCTATACCAGAAACATGGGCAGAAGATCGCTAACCTCATAGGTGCACCGAATTTTGGTTCCCCTACCGTCCTAGCGGCGAACGGCCTGATATGCGTTGGAACCAATTCCGGAAGGATACTTGTTTTCGACTTCAAGCAGAACTTGAAATGCATCTGTGGCTCCTCAGGTGCGTACTCAACGATCTCACCGCATGTTGTTGCGAAGCTGACTTGTTACTCTCAGAGCACAATATTGGCGCTGTCACGGCTCTTACTCTCTCCTATGACCATACGTACGTGGCGTCAGGACATGCCTCTGGACACATCCAGCTCTTCGACTTGAACAACCCGAAGGCGCCTGCACGCTTCGTTGCACCCACATCGCTTGCAGAGGTCGTCACCGGAAGGCAAGAAGGACATCTCCACGGCTCCCGCATTGTTAGCATCGGTTTTGTGGCGGGAAGGCATACCGCCGTCGTCTCCGCCGACGATAGTGGTTTGGCGTTCTACCATAGTCTTGGCAAGGTCCTATTTGTCGAGGCTTCGGACACTTTGCGGATCCTAGGCAAATACCCTGACGAGGCAGACCCCCTCCACGAACCTTCTGCACCCGGAGTGCCCGTGCACCATCAATTCCGCCGTCGAAGAATACGGAAAGCTCACACCATCTTGTCGATGATGCCCCTTCCGCTAGGTGCATCCGCTCATCCGACCGATGCATACAACCTGGTCGCGTTGCTGACGCCTATGAAATTGGTCGTGGTTGGGCTCAAACCTTCGCCAAAGACCTGGTACAGGCGCCACCGCGAAGCAGACGATGGTGCGTCCAAGTCGAAGTTCAAGGGCGTCCTGGCGTGGTATCCGAGTACGCCGAGTGCCGGCGCTCCGCAGGACACACAGACCAACGGCAAGGGCCGTGCAACAAACTCCACAGGGACTCATCCGATACTCATCTATGGCTGGGGCAACACCTTGAATCTCGTGCAGGTATCAGAGTCGAAGATGGTCCAGGAAGTGCGCAATCCGAAAAATAGCAAGGTCTCGCGTGTGGAGATCGGCCGAGTGGTGTTCGAGGAAGGTAGAAGTTGGACCGTGGGTGGTGATGCACTCGCTTTACAGTGGCTTAATCCCAATGTGGGTTCGTCTGGATTTCTCACTCCTTTCTCATCTTGAAGTCTGAACACATCCTCTTCGCTAGCAAGTCATCGTACTCACCTCCGCCGCACTCGAAGTCTTCGATATTAACACCTTCAAGCTCGTTGAGCATGTCCCATTCGATGCTTGGTCTCTAGTGTCTCCAATCTTAAGTCACACTACCAATGGCTCAGTGCAATACTCGGACGCTGTGACAGAGGTGGCACACAGCGTAAGGGTATACAAGGGCAAAATCTTCCTGCTGGTAAGAGCAAGTACAGTTCTCCTCCGCGATGTTCTTACCGGTGTTGTCAGGGTCAGCATGAAGTTCGCGTTGGGACGCTGCTTACTTGGGCCGATCGGATTCTTTCGTTTGTGGAGAACGGCGATTTCTTAAGCGCCATCGAATTGGCTCGGTCATACTACGTCGGCGAGGCACCCGGGAACAGGAATGGCCTTCCGGACGATTCACAAGAACTTCAGCTCGTGGTCGGCGAGAAGATGCGTGATCTCATGGTCGCTTCGGCACGATACGCTTTCGCTGAAGAGCGTATGATGGATGACACTCATTTCAGTGCCGATGGCCGTGGCGTCGATCGAACGTCGCTATTTGAGGGACTCGTGACTACCTGTTCCCGTGCTTGCATCGCCCTAGGCGAATTCGACCTCCTTTTTGAGGATCTCTACTCATACTACGACGACAACGGTATCTCGCGCATATTCTTGACGCAGCTCGAGCCATTTATTATCGATGGAACCGTCCACCAAGTTCCCCCACGACTAACACAGAGGCTCGTGACGCTTCACGAGGAGAATGGGCGGCCAGACTTGGCCGAACGGATTATCTGGCACATCGACCCGGAGTGTCTGGATATCAATCAGTCTATCCAACTCTGTCAAAAATATCACCTCTATGATGCTCTGCTGTATGTGTACATGCGCGCAATGAAGGACTATGTGTCTCCGCTTGTCGAGCTCATAGACCTCATCCGACAAGTTCAGCGGTACCGTCGGCGACGCGCGGAAGCTTCGCCGAATTCAAAGGCGCGCTTGAACGATAGCGATGTGGAGGACATTGCAATCAACGCGTACAAGATTTACCCCTACCTAGGCAATGCGTTGGCTGGTCTGGCATATCCAAGCGGCGAGCCACTGTCGGAAGACGACGCTGAACAAGCCAAATACGACTTGTACACATTCCTCTTCGCCGGGCGATCTAGCATGTGGCCTGATCCAGGTGGCAGACTTATCCTCACCAATGAAGACGACACAAACGTCGAACCCACTTACCCCTATGCTCGCCTTCTTCTGCGTTTCGACGCTGAGGCTTTTCTTCACACTCTTGACCTGGCGTTTGAAGACCACTATCTCAACGACGATGAGAAGCACAATACCAACCGACTCATCATCGTGAAAATACTGCTTGAAATCCTGTCATCCCCGGACACCCCACAGAACGACGCGACGTTCATCAACATTTTCATAGCGAGGAATATGCCCAAGTACAGCCAATTTCTCAAGGTGGCGCCGAGTACACTTCACAGCATTCTCATCGCCCTGGTACAGGATCGAGACAGCAGCACGCGGGAAGACCGGCAGCTGGCAGCCGAGTATCTACTATCTGCGTATACGCCCCATGAGGGAGACCGTCTCGTCCGCATATTTGAGCGAGCCGGCTTCTACCGCATCCTTCGTTCATGGCATAGACGTGAACACCAATGGGTGCCATTGATCCAGGCATACTTGTGGGATAGTGACATCCCCCCAGCGGAGAAATTCAGCTCGCTTGATGAGGTTTTATCGACTACGGCAAAATACAACAAGCAGGAGTTTCCTCCGGAAGTTACTGCGATTATCAACGAGTCGCTCCCCTCCTTACTCGACGCCAGCATCCCGCAAACTGCACTTCTTCTTGACCGACACCTTCCTGCCCTGCATGAGACGGTGATAAGCACCCTCGCTGACCGTCCGTCCCGAGATCGCTTCCTCTATCTGCGGAGTTTACTGGCAACTTCAGCGCAAGACAGCTTCCAGGAGCTGGGATTCACTCGTGTTGAGCCCTCTCCCAACACCCTTCCGAGCCTTCGCAATGAATACCTCAGGCTGCTATGCGAGGTCGAGCCCGGCTATGTCGTCAGCGAGCTTCATCATCTGCCTCCCAACTTCATTGATCGCAAGGAAGCTGCGCGGATATGTGAAGAACAAGGGCTCTACGATGCTGTCATCTGGTGCATGAATGACGCTGGAGACGCAAAGGGTGCTTTGCACAAGGCCGACCAGTTCGTGGAGAAGCTTTCGGATACGCTTGTAGAGCTCCTGAAAGCTGGAGACGTCTCCGAACAGAGCAACGAATGCATATCCGCCCTCAAGAACATCCAACGACGAGCTGTCGGTGTCTGCCTCGAGCAGAGCAAGGGCGCGACGGACCAGCATAGCGAACTCGAGCAGAACTGGCTCGAACTTCTCCGGAGTCAGATCACTTGCGTCCATCGCGTTTCTCTTTCTTGTTCACCACAAGTGAGCTCAGCGAAGACCATAGATGAGGGCGACGATCCGCAACTACGAGCAGAGCGGGCTCTGCTAGACGAGTTGCGTGCCTCTGTCCATGAGACCTTCAACTCGCTGCTGTCTGTTAGCTCGACTAAGGCTGTGTCATTCCCACGGCTGTTTAAACGACTCGTGGATGCCAGGGACAGCCGCGTTACAAAAGGGGCGCAGTACACCGAATTCCGGGCCATCTTGGGTGGAATGTTGGAGTCGTACCGTTCTGAGGGCGACATGCTGGTGATCACCAAGCACCTCATGAGCCGCGATTTTTTCGTCTTAGTGGAGGAGTTAGCAAAGGCTCGTAGCAAGGGATGGGCACCCTCACGTGGCATCTGCTCAACCTGCGGCGAACGATTGTACGACGCGAGCAAGTCAGCAAAAGCCTTTGCAGTTAGTGGAGAATCGGAGTCGGTACCGGAAGATTCTGCTATTATCGTATCACGGACAGGAGTTGTATACCATAGGAAATGCCTACCCAGACAGGACACTACTAATAGCGTATAATCATGCCAGCATCTTACGCGCATCTTCGCATTAGCAATGGGCTATGCCGTCTAGTCATCTATCAGTGGTGCATTCGCGAGCTCCTTGAGCGCCCGGTACGTGCTGTTGTCGTTGACCGACACTCCCAGTGATTCGGCGTCCTTGCCGAATGCATCCACGTCTAATATCATCTGCGTCCGGATCTTCTCTTCATCAGCCCGGCCATCGTCGTCCTTCGTTAAGGGTGCTGAACCGAACAGCGAGAAGGCCGACCTTTTGCCCTTCTTCAGCCGCCGCAGAGACTCTTCGGTTTTCTTCATTGCAGTCAGGAAATAGATGTACCTACTGGCACGTCAGCGATAATAACACACGGTGTGTAAACGGACAGACAGACCTCTGTGCTACATTTTCGAACACTTCCTCTGCATATGAGCGGAGGTGATCGTCGTTGAGGGTCGCACCCGGCGCGTCTCCGGTACCGATTCCAAAAAACGCTTTCAACGCGCGAAAGATGAGCGACACGAAGTGACTGGGCTCCGTCGGAAGCTTTCTGCTCGCCGTCATCGCCCTGAATTGCGATGGGATGGAACGCATAGGCAGCAGAGCGTCATATCCACGGCGTGAGAGGATGGCAATGATTTGACCAGAGATGGGAGGTATCAATGATATGAGGGACGATAGGGAGCGTCGCAGGATATCTAGCAAGGTAAGAGCAATTAATTAAAGCCCTGTCTGTGTGCCCAAGGGAATTCTCACCTTCCAGCGAAATGGATACGTCAGCAGCACTATCTGCCTCAGACAGGTCAGGTAACATCCCGCTCAGTTCTTCGCGCCACAAGTTCCAGACTTGGGTTTCCAGGGCTTTGATGTCTGTTAAAACAGTGGCTAGCTGCACCAGTAGTACATCGTCTACCGCAACGCTCTCTGGAGAGGCCGCCTCCACCTGTTGATTTGTCGGTGTTGCCGTCCGGTTAAGTGACGGAGACATCGTGAGCTGTATGCCTTGATGTGAGTAGCTTCAAACATGAACAATGATGACTTACACTTGTCGTAGAACTTGCTGGAGGCATTCGTGAGGGAGATTCCAATGCTGGCATACTGTTATTAAGCCAGGATCGGTACCTGCTTATGAGCTGATTTTCTGTTAGTGAATACTCTGCCTTCCAGCCGGAGACGGCTTCTCACCTGCAGGGTTAATTTCCAAGATCGATGACTGAGCTCAGGGATGAAGACCTGCGCGCTCCATATAGAGGAAATCGCTGTCCACACAGCAGCAGCCTGTGAGGTGACAAACGGCGCATTCGCTTAATGATATTCAGTCTCATGTAGAATCTGCGGCTGTCAAGGTTTCTGACCTTTGGTGAACGTGCGCTCCAACTTGGCGACCGAAAGAGACTCCTCGAGCTTGGTGACAGTCTCTTTCCACCGCAGCTGGAAGTACACGGGGAGCTGCCAGCGTCGCTCGAAAGCGACGTACACAGGGTGAGAGCGCATCCCGGCTACCGCCTCCACGGACGGTGCAAGGTACTCGAGCGATCCGATGAACGCTTGCGTCGTCTCATAATGCTAGGGATCTCGGGGTAAGCGAGGCCAGCAGGCGGAGGGGTGCCGCCAGATTTACCTTGCGGAATTCGTCTGGCTTTCCTACAGCGAATACCGTGCTCCCGAGCTCATCCATAATGGCCTTTCCAATCTCAGCCCATACAACGTTAGCCATAATCTCGAATCCGCCTGGGCTGTCCTTCTGAGGTGGCGCAGTGGCGCCCAACAACGCCGTTTTCCCCATGTTCATTCTCGCGGTGGATTTAACACCAACTCTCTCAGCAAGCTCCATAATACGCTTCATGTCGCGGTCAACGAAGCGGAGAATAGTGTTGTATAATGTGGCGAGAGTGTCGTTGGTGTCATCCAGAATGTGTGGTTGAGTGTCAAAGCTAACCTCAAAAGGATTTTGCTTTGATGCAAAGGCAGTATAAGGGGTGTACGGTGTCCGCGGGGGCACTCCGCTAGCGATTGACGAAAACTTTGTCCGGGGGATGGGTGTATGCGGTAGAACAGGGCTTTGAGGAGCAGCAAGGCATCCGGCGTATATGGTCTACTGTCTGGGATTATCCAAAGCGTTTTGCAAGCAACATCAACAGCATACCTTCTTTACGAAAGCACGAACGACGTCCGTTCGTAACACTTCCTCTGCATCCTGCCAGAGACCGAGCATGTCATATGCCCGAAGGCATTCGGTCACATCATTTAGTACCTTGGTTCTGTCGAGTTCGGCTGTGCCCACAGACTTGATGATGTCCCTCCCTTCTGTGAGTGTCAGTAAGGTCGAGGAGAAGAGATGATCTAGGTCAGACGAAAGCGTGGATTTGATACGGTCGATTCGCTGTTATGAAAGACTGTTATATAGCGAGGAAACACGAGCTGAGCGCACTTACCCAATGGCACTCGTCCACAAAAGCACACTTCTCACTTTGTGCCTTGGACACATGGTACAGCAGCTGGGTATATTCTGCAGCCACTCGAGAAAGATGCTTTGCCCGGTTGCCTCGCGTTCTATCTACATCAGCACGAAGTGCGAACGCATGAATGCATCGCGCACCTCTCTTCCGCACGTTCCTCTTCAGTACGGCTACCCAAGGTCATACCGTGCATGTCCGGCTGACCCTGGTCCTCATCCGAAGGAGCCGAAATCAGGAGTAAAGACTCCAAGCGAGTAACAGACTCAGAGATCTTCAGCAGCAGATGCAGGAATGTCTATCTCAATCGCGAGTTCACGTCATGCTGTATGTAGACGGGGTTACAACGCACCTTCTCCTCCCTCAGTTCAGTCCGCTTCTGCAGTTTGTGTTGAATCGCATCCTGGATGCGCTGCAATTCGCCGCGTGATTCCTACGTTGGGGACTGAGGTTGTATCACACACATACGACTGGGCTTGACGAATTACATACAAGGATTTGCGCTCGGAGATCCCCCAGTGGCCACTTCAGCCTCTCCAACCTTGTGCCCTCGCCCCTCAAGTCCGTGCTCAGGCTAATGAACGCCTCATAGTCGTCATTGATGAGCTTAACGAGCTCCTCCTTGAGCGTAGCCAGGTAATCTCGGAGCTCTGACCGTAGATCCGGGAGCGAAGTATAGGACCGCGACAGGAGGAAATCCTCGACATGGAACGTCTCGGCGGAGAGGTACGGGTTGTCATGCGAGAGTGGCACGTATGCTGGCAGGTCATGTTCCCCATCGGCGAACCCCGCGTGGGACATGCCAGACTCTCGAGTTTCCAGCTCTTCTGCCAGGCGATCCAGCTCCATGGGGTCTCGCGAGACACGAGTGGGAGATATCATACTCATGCTGGCATAGACCTAGACCTAGCTGGTGAAAGGGTAGGTAACCAGGGGTCGGACACACCGAGATACTAGATAGAGAGCTTGAGCGTACAGGAGGATAAACACTGGGGCTCGAGCTCAAGATGATTTCGCCACAAAGCCGTCGCGAGAATAGACGATAAAAGCACTAAGGAGATGATGGATATTATTTACCGACGCGGTCATCAAGCAAGATGAGTAGGCGCTCGCCGGAACGTCCTGGGATGGCTCCAAAACCTCGAATGATGCTCTAGTGAGCGGACGATGATAATCTTTAGCATTATAGTTTGTATCTAAAACAACAGTATAGCAAAGGCGACGATTACATATGTACAGCAGTGAGGCATTGCGAGGGGGAAATCCGCCAATGAAGTGGTCCGTAAAACGCGGTCTTGACTGTCTAGAACGGGATGCGTGTATTAGGTATGCATGGCTAAAACTTCCAATCCGGATCAACTTCCAAAGCCCAGGGGACTGAGAGACTAAGTGAGCGGAAGTGAGAAGAACGAGTAATTGGAGACATACATTTCTGAAGTAGTGTCTTAGAAAAGATCTTCTCGATGGGTACGTCATGCTTCTTGCACCAAGCAGCAGTAATTCTGGACAACGTTCTATGCAGTAAGTGCAACACAGATATCGTGGTGCAAACGTACCGTGGGTCGAGGTAGTTGATCTTACTCGTTCCGAGAGCGACCTCCTTGCCGGCCTCCCTGTCCTCCATCTGCAGCTTGAACGTCTTGATCTTCTCGTCGAGCTTCTGTATGGCCTCCTCAATCTTCTCAGTCGGCTTGTCCCTCTTAAGCTCATGTTTTCCGGTGCCGCGCTCCTTGTTGAGCCGCTTGAATTCGCTCTCTATTTCTTTGATCTTGTCCTTCAGTGCAGACTCAGGCTGTAGCTTTTCGCCCTGCTCAGCGAGCTTCTCGTTATCCTTCTGGAACTTCTTCTCAGCTTTCTCAAGCTCACGAGCCTTCCATTGCTCTTCGTGCTCCGCGATAGCCTCGTCGTCAAGGTCAGACTCGTCCTCGGCGTATGGCTTCCTCTTCTTGAACTTCGAGTCGACGGTGAAGAGCGCGTGGCGGAGCTTCATCCTCTCGTACTTGAAACCGCGGAGCTACAAGGTATGCTGTATCAGTACGCGAACATCGCAGAACAAGTAGAACACGTGCCTTCTCCTTCATCTTCTGCATCGATTGCTCGTGCGTCTTGGGAGCGGCCCTCTGATGGTTACACAGGATGGCAACCATACGGTTAGCGTGATTGTACGCGTTCAGCTTCTCCTGAACAGTACCCTTCTCGGGCGTGCCCTGGTCAAGTTGTTGTTGGAAGGTAATTGACGCGTTGTATGTACGGAACACCTTCGCTGTAAGGCCTTTCATGAAGCTCGACAGCTTCTTGTTAACATCAGCGGTCTGCAACATGCCCATTAGCCGAGCCTGAGCCAGTGTGGCAGAGATATACGTACGTCGACTCGGTCGAACAACATGTCGCCCTCAGAAGTCTGGTCTTTGAAGATCTTGATGTTCTTGAAAACGCGCTCGTCGACCTGGACGCGGTTGTAGTAGCGAATGGAGTCTTTACCGAGGAAATCGAAGATTAGAAAATTTGGAGGCTCCAAGGTGATGTGCTCGTATCGTAACGAGCAGCAACCGACGGTGTCGGCCTCGTCTTCGCCCTTTTCATTACCGGCTCGAAGAGCGAGGACGTCGATAAAATACAGACAGGTGGCAAGCTGCCGCTCCTTCATGACCTTCTCCTTCAGCTTCTCGTTGTACCATTTGCGGACGTCGGCAACATATTTCTACATGGCGTTAGAAGCGATCGAGCCAAACGAAACAAATAACAACGAACCTTCAACTCTCGGGACTTCTCGAACTTCTGCATATCACTCTGACCCTTGAGTGAGCTGCCGGCAGCCAAGAAGACATACTTGTAGTTCCCATTGACGTTCTCGACCCAGTTGGCGAGCCATGTTACAGTCTTATCATGCACGACGGCCTTCCAGTTGCCGGGAACGTTGGGCTTCGGTATCGGGATGCCTCCCCCAATGTTAACTGTAACATCTTCGGGATGAACGCGAAGCTACGCGACTTGATTAGTCACCTATAGGTAGAGATGGAACGAACAAAGCTCACTTTCAGGCGGCCCTTTTTCGGATGTTCACCACGTCCTCTGAAGAGCCCTGGAGGCTCGACCCTAAAGTTACCGACCTTCTCCTTTCGTCCGTCGAGGACGCAGTGTGTGAACGGGGCCTCCAGTGCGTCCTTCTTTGATTTCGCTTCCTTCTTCTCTGCGGAGCTCATCGCTTTCTTCTGCGCCTTAAGTAGCTCGAAGTGCTCATACATAGGACGGAAATCGCAGAGCTCGAACTTCGTGATCTTTGTGCCATCGCGCTATGAGCAGTAAATTAGAACGTAGGTCAGTATGTCCGGACTAACCGACGTACTGGAGAATCCTTCTTGAGAACTTGCAGAAAATCTTCAAAGAAATTTTTGTTGAAGATGGCATCCTTCGCGTGCTCTGTCTCAAGGAGCGCAGCATAGAATCCGGCAACTTCTTCGGCGACAGATGAAAGATTCACGGGCTTGCCTATATGCATAGTGAACTTCCGGACAAGATTCTAGAACTCAAACACACCATTGTACTTCATCTTGATATTGGCTGGCAGGGGCTCGTACGGAGGGGGGAAGTACACCCCGTTATGCTCCAAGGTTTGCCACTTCTCAGACCCGTCACCGTTGGCCTGCTGCTGTTCCCACCACTTGTACACATCTTCCTCCTCTTCCTCCTGTTTCTTCGCTTTCGCGGCCCTCTTCTTCGATTGAGGCGCCTCCGAGCTTGATGCCTCCTCCTCTTTCGCCTTCTTTGCTGAAGCCCGCTTGGCAGGAGTCTTCTTCAGAGGCTTGCTATCTTCTTCGTCGTCTGCATCACTCTCCTCCTTGAGCTTGCGCTTCCCCTTCGCCGCCGGCTTCTTGACTGCGATCGGCTTGTCGTCCTCGGACTCTGGCCCAAGGTCGTCATCGCTCTCCTCCTTCTTAACGCGCTTCTTCGCGGGCCTGCCCTTACCATTTGTGGTCACGCGCTTCCGCTTAGCCACCGGCACGTCGTCGTCAGAGTCCCCGCCGCCACCCCGAGGCGAGACCTTGCTGCTTTTGGCCTTGCTCGTAGCTCCCTTCCCGTTCGGCGCGTGTACGGCGGTAGCTTTAACAGCTCCAGGCATGGGAACCGCGGCTGACTTCGTCTGCTTTGCCGGAGACGATTTGAGCGGAGTATCATCTTCACTCGAAGACGAGAATACTGGGGCCTTCTTGCGCTTTTTAGTGCGCACATCGGGAGTCAGCGGTTCAGACTTCGTTCGGGTCGTCTGAGACTGGTGTGGCGCTTAAGGTCAGTGGCACGCTATGCATGTTATGAACATTGTCAAGCTCACCAGGGGGATGTCGCCATCGTCCTCGCTGAACAAGGAGCTGCTATCTTCGGGCTTGCCGTTGCCATTTGGCGCGACGTGCCCATTGCCGTTCATGCTGCTTGGACCAGGCCGGACAGGTCGATCGTCGTCAGAGGACATCACAACATCGCCGGACATTATATTAGAGAAAAATTGAAAGATAACGCAACGTGGAGAGCTGAAGAGGATGAAGGGGGAAAGAAAGCGGAGGAAGGGGAGAGATGTGGATGAGAACAAGAACCAAGAGCTGTGTCACATCAAGTTCGTAAGTTCCCGTTGACCTGCCCTAAACTCGCCCATTTCGGTAGGCCACTTCACGCTATTCTCCGACCAAGTACCCAGAACACTCCTTCGCCGTACGTCTCTGTAGCCGCTTTATACAGGTTGTAATCATAACTAGGCATGTTTTCTGTATAGATGGCCAACCCGCCGCAGCCTCCGTCCCTGTTCCGCAACCCGTGGGCGAGAGCTGACGCATGGAGGAAGCACCCGGTGTTCCAGCAGCGGAACATGCTCAGCAGGATGTTCCCTGGTTTTGGGATAGCGGTCGTTGCATTCACTAGCTACGTTGTTGCCGAGAAGCTTTTCTTCCCTGAAGAAAGCCACCACCATTAAGTTTAACCACCTGTGGGTACCCTTGTGCGGCAACGCGTTAAATCTGACAAAAAATCGTCGCCAGAGTATACCGAGTGTGGATGCGTGCAATACATGACCCTTTCACCTTTTTTTGCTATTGGTCAAGCATGATCTCGCATGTTGCGAGGCTTGAACGCAATCACTCCTGCTCCCACCTTGCAACGACCTGGTCCGGTATATGGCTAACGAGAGTTTCTTACGTCGTTGGAGGACAACAGCCTCAGGCTCAAGTACCAAGCCATTGTATCTCTCCAACATGAGCAACTCATGTCTGGGTGACTGTTCGTTCTCGCGAAGTCGCGAAGTACTCGGCGGATGTAGAGGCGATGCAGCCGTTACTCGCTGTCGTAGTAATACACTCTTTCCTCTGTCTCTCCTGTTAGCTCTCTTGCCATATCGTTAGTGTAGTTCCTGACGTGTAAATATTGACTGCATGTTGACTGCACGAACTCAATATGCGAACCTTCCGAGCTTCGGGATGTATGGGCGCTTGCCTGTGCCATGACTTCACGTGTCGGGTGACACGCAGAACCTGTCCCTGCACTCCACCACGCACGATGAGCATACCGTCTGCCCAAAATTCGCGATCATCTTTCGCGTCCAAGACCGCCTGGGATGCTCTCGGTATAGAGTCGGGCGAAGAAACGGAAGAGGAGGAGGCCGTTGAGTCTCCCGTGACATCACTCACGAGGTCAGGGATGCCATATTCTGGTTGATGTAACCTCTGTCTGACATGTGCAACGTAGCACTGAACCAGCACCTCTCACCAAGAGTGCACAGAAGAAGCTAAAGGAGAAGGCTCGCGCGGAAAAGAAGGCTCAGGAGAAAGCTGCGCGCGCGGCAGCACGAGCGCAGGCGAACGGAAAGCCTGCAAATGGAACCGCGTCACTGAGCCCATTGGAGACACCATCCGACAGCCCTTCGATCGTCACCAAGCCTCTTGAGGAGACCAAGAACGTTGTTGAAGCGGTAGCAAAACCAGCAGAGGACCTCCAGACGGATGATGAGGTTGCCCAGACCGCCGTCGAGACGAATGGAGACACGCAACATACAATGGAGTCCTCAGCTCCTGAGCCCGAGCCATTGATTAACGCGAAAATCGAGAGCGAACTGCCGTCAAAAGTGGAGCTGAAGCCACCTGCACCGCCGCTCGTTGCACCGCAGTCCCAGCAGAAACAGCAATTGGTGGAGAAGAAAGAGAAGAACACGGAAGAGAGGAAAGTCGTTTTCGCAACACCGGACGAGAAGCCCAGAGCCGTGCGGAATGGCACTAGCGTCAGCGAGCAAGATGCAGAGAAGGTGAAGAAGAGGCAGAGCTTCTTGACGAGAACGTTATGGACGTTTATTATGATCGGTGGCTTCATTGGTACGTGTACATCTTGAAGCGAGTCTTCCAACACCACTAATTTATTACAGCCTTGCTTCTGATGGGCCATGTCTACATGATTGTGCTTGTATTCATGTGTCAGATGTTGGTATATCGCGAAGTCACCGCGCTGTTCTCGCTCAAGCGGAAACCGCAAGACGAGGAGGAAGCAAACGGACGCGACCCATGGAGCAAGACGCTCAACTGGTACTTCTTCGCCGTGGTGAACTACTACTTGTACGGCGAGACGATTATCTACTACTTCAAGGTGGGTAACCTCGTGACGTTCACACTTCAGTTCCACTTAGACGCTTCGGTAGCATGTTGTTTTCTCAGATGCCCAGCTCATCGGGTTCGCTACCAACCACCGGTTCACTAGCTTCTCGCTGTATACCCTCGGTTTCGTCGGTTTCGTCTTGTCACTCAAGCGTGGATACCTCAAGCAACAATTCGGCCTGTTCTGTTGGGTGCATATGACCTTGATGCTCATTGTGGTCTCTAGGTGGGTCGAACTGCACTTCTATTCGATTTGTTTTCTTCTGACCTATACCCCTAGCCACTTCATCGTGAACAACATTCTCGAGGGTATGATCTGGTTTTTCGTTCCCGCGTCTCTTGTGATCTGCAACGACGTGTTCGCATACGTGTGGGGCATCACCGTGGGTCGCACCCCACTTATAAAACTCTCTCCAAAGAAAACCGTCGAGGGTTTCGTTGGCGCATTCTTCAGCACCGTCATTTTCGGCATTGCCTGGGGCACATATTTCGCGCAGTTTGAATACATGACCTGCCCCGTGCGTGACCTCGGCGCGAGCGCGTTTGATAGCGTCGTGGCGTGCACTCCCAACCCCGTGTTCGTCTGGCGTGAGTGGGTCATTCCGGGTCCGCTGAGCGCGTTCTTGTCTACTGTGGTATGTACTGCTCACTACCCCTGCATCTCACCCGTCTCACTGACGGATCGCCCTCACAGCTCGGGCGCTCTGTGTCGTCTGTCCCATATACGCCCTACCAGTACCACGTCCTCTTCCTTGCTACCTTCGCCTCTCTTGTCGCGCCATTCGGCGGTTTCTTTGCCTCGGGCTTCAAACGTGCCTTCGATATCAAGGACTTTGGCCACAGCATCCCTGGGCATGGCGGTATGACCGACCGTATGGACTGCCAGTACGTTTCTCCTTGCTCCGTCCCTAGCGTGCTGGAACGCTGACGATCACTCTTACAGGTTCTTGATGGGTGTCTTTACCTATGTCTACTACTCGAGCCTCATTCGTCAACACCACGTCACTGTAGGATCCATCCTACAGATGATTGTGAGCGGCTTGACGATCGAAGAGCAGCTCGAGCTCATGTCCGATCTCAAGAGGTATCTTGAAGGCCAGGGTGTCAAGCTCAAACTTTAATTTCTTGCCGTTTCCACTGCTTTCTACCGGGTTGAGCTGCGCAAGTGTCAGACCTATGCAAAACCATCTTACGTCCCCTACGAAATGTAATGTCGTCTATAATGCATATTACCGAGTGGATGCTGCATCGTTGTGTCGCAATCCTTCACAAGTTTGCGTTGCGCATAAGGCTGCGTGCTCGCTCCTTCATGTGAATCCTGAGATGGTGTCGATAACACATCCTAAGATGGCAGAGGAAGAATGGGCATATCATACAGGAGTCGCGCGAGCGTGCCCTGCTCTTTTCGATTTTAGCCTATGATGCATTGGGGCAGAGTAGCAAGGAGCACGGGTGGGTGAGGGCAATACAGACATATCATGGCATGTGGACCACAAGCGTGGGGTACGAAAGCGACGACGACAGGAAGGGGGTCGTCCGGAATAATTTATGAGCGGGGCTTCTCCTGTATATGACATTAGCACTGAGAGCCTGGAGGGGGATACAACACCACAAACCTTTTTCTCCTTCCACAACGCGAGGAGGCCGACACCAGAGACCTTGACAACCTTGAAGCGGACACCTGGAATATCACCCTTGGCCTTGCCACGACGACCGAAACCGGAGATGAGGACCTCGTCGTTCTCGTCGACAAAATTCAAGCAACCATCGTTCTGGGCAAGCGTAACAAAGTGTTAATCACATAAAGCAGGAGATCCATGAACATGAGGTACTTACGGGAACGAAAGCAGTGACCTTCTTGCCGTTCTTGATGAGCTGCACACGGACACACTTCCGGATGGCAGAGTTGGGTTGCTTGGCCTCAACACCGACCTTCTCAAGGACGATGCCTTTGGCGTGTGAAGAACCTCCCGTTGGGGAGGTCTTGTAGAAGTTGCCAAGGGCGCGCTTCTTGTAGGACTTGTCCGCCTGATATGCACGTTGGTAGGTCGCAGAAGAGCATAGAGTTAGAATAACGGTTTGGCGAGAACAGGGAGGGGTGAACTAACCCAGCGGTTGAGGCGGCGGTCGGTGCGGAGCTTTCGTGCTGCTTGCAATCCACGGGGTTTGTTGGCTAGACGGCGTGACGGTCAACATCTCACTCGGTGATGTTAGAGACAGTGAGCATAGCGACGTACAGCCCATGCTTGCGGTGGATGTCGGTGTCGATAACGGGGGCAGGACACTTCTGTCCGTCCGCGAAGTGTGAGAAAAACTATTACAGTTTATCGGAAGTTGCCGAGACCACTTGAGCGCTTCCCTTACTCGCGCCCACCAACGGCTATGTACTGTTCTTTGGATATTGGTCAAGTCTCAAGCTTCTGTACCCTTTCTGAGGGCTATGTTCTGCGCATATAAAACCTCCGCTTACGCGACATACTGCTATTCTTCGCTCAGTGGACCTAGTCTCGCTCCAAATCTCTCGATTTCTGAACTCCTGTCCTCAGCGTTCCATCACGGCGTCGGTAACCAGAGATCGTCTTGGCTCGCATAAGACAGCTACACTGCGCATACAGTCCTGCCGGCCACTTACGACGGTGTCTAGACGTAGGCCGGCATCGATTGTTAAGTCTCCATTCTACGAGAGCTTTTGAGCCAGAGGTGGGCTGCAGAACTCACCTTTTATAGATAGCCGAAGTCTACCTGTACACGTTTCAAGCGGTTACAATGGATGTAGCTGAACCAATAGATCGCTTCGCGCTACCTAGCCTTCGTATGAAGATGCGTCCTCTGTCTACAACATTGCACGGTATAAGCAAATAAGCAGCAGTGAGAACTGTTTACACGCTCTCTCATGTCGCATGCGGTCTCTGTGCTGCCCTCTCTCACGAGCCAGCAGAATCAGACAAGGTCAGTCCAGGATGCGTCCCGCTCGCGGAGTATCTGGACGGAACGGGAACCCGCTGACCTCTGAGCGTTTCATCCGTGCACTAATGTGAGAGTGTTCAGACAGCGCGAGCCCTTATATTAGCCGGACGAGACAGATGCATATAAGACCTGCCCCATCTCTTTAGTGTTATCACCGGCATGTCACAAGCGCCCTTTGAAGAGTCGAAGACACAGTATTATCACCACGGACGATTCTCCTTTGCAGGAGGTAGCGTCCCGAACGCCTATACAGCTTATCGAACTTACGGCGACTCGACAAAACCATGTATCGTGTACCCAACTTGTTACGGTGGCAAGCTGGATAGTGAGTATCTTGTGTCTGCTCACATCTGCTCACAAGCTCCGTCGACTCATCGTCTACCAGGCCAGTTGCATATGATCGGGCCGAATAAGGTATGAAAATGTCTCAAGTAGCAAGTTATATCCGTAGCCTGAGGTAGTCGCAATCCTAGGCTCTCGATTCCACGCAGTACTTTATCGTGACGTTCGCGCTGTTTTCAAACGGAGAGGTCAGTTATATCGTTGCTGAACTTTCGTACTCTGCAACTCATTTGTAGAGCAGTCGTCCTCCCCATCGAACACGGTCACGTTTTGTTCGTTTAGTCCACTATGAGGCGCTCATGGGGCTATAGCCGGAGCCCTACAACGGGCCCTATTTTCCAGTCGTCACGTATGAGGACAACATGTAAGTCGCGCATTCCGAGTGGCACTTGTTACTGAACATTTTGGTTGTAGCCGAGCGCAGCATGCCGTGCTGGTGGAGAAGTTGGGAGTCAAAAGGATATATTGCGTGATCGGATTCTCCATGGGTGGACAGCAGGTACGTTTCGGGTTTCCTTCTGCAGTCCTTTCTCACAGCTGGGTATCTACAGGCTTACTATTGGCCGGTCATGTTCCCAGACTTTGTCGATAAGTATGCGGCACAGTCTGTCTTCGGTTTTATGCATGTGAACAAGAATTGTGTTTTAGGTTCGTTGTTATCTGTGGCTCTGCTCGGACAAGCCCTCATAATCAATGGTCAGTTCTTCCTATCAGAAGCTACCGTTGGTGTGGACTCACGCCACAAATAGTTTCCTCGAGGGCCCGAGGATCGCGCTGGCCGCTTCGCGGGATTACCAGGATGGACACTACACGACCAAACCCCAGCATGGCATCCGTGCGTTTGCTCGTGTCTACAGCGCATGGGCATACGGCCAAGCAGTACGCTGAGAACGAACTACGTTACGAAAATATTCAGCGCTGACACACCGTAGTGGTACCGCCAGAATCTATATCTCTACGGTGGCAAGTACACGGATCTAAATGATTTCATTCGTTCCGAATGGGAGGCGGGGCACCTGGCAAACTGGGACGCCAACGACATGCTCGTGCTGCTGCGCACCTGGCAGATGGGCGACATCTCGAAGATACAGAGCATCGCTCCCAGTTTGCAGGGCGACCTTGTTGGAGTGCTCAAGACCATCACGGCGAAGGGCCTTATAATGCCCTGCGTAACAGATCTGTATTTCCCGGTGCGCCAGAGTGTCTTCATATAAACATATCCGCCTTACGTTCTTCCATTAGCCTGAAGACAGTGAGGCTGAGGTCGAGGCAATGGGAAGTGACAAGTCTCAGCTGCAGAAGATTCCTTCAATCTGGGGACATAGAGGCAAGCATTCGCTTTGTCGTCCCATCTTGATACATGCTGACTCATCACGGTGTGCAGCCGGGGGTGGGGCCAATCCAGAGGACATCCAGTTCGTCGCCGGATACGTACGTAAGTTCTTGAAGAAGCAATAAAGTGAAAGGACAGTTTTGTTATATAACGTGGGCGAATCGAAACTATATTCTGCGTCTTTCTATATTGGCAGTAAGCACTGCGAAATCGGCCGCGAAAGCTGTCAGGCCGAATCCCGACATGACCGCACTCCAGCGTCTGCCTTGGATTTCATCAACCTCTGCCAGCTCAGGCTGGACATCTGTAGTATTTTCATAGCTGTGGTTCAACATTGCATATATCCACGAACTCAGCCCCGACTGGTGCCAGCGAAGCTCAAGGGCCTCGGTTCAAGGTTGGCAGATGGCGGGACATAGAGAAGCCAAGACGGCTTATCAGCATTGGAGAGACTCTGTTATAGTAGTGGAAGCTCTAAAATGGTATATTTCAAAGGCGAGAAGTTTTTATTGCACCTCATCGCCTCGCTGAACACGCACTTGTACAGCACACAGCTAAGACAAGCATCCGCTGAGCAATCGGAGGCATAGGCACAATTTCCGGGCTGTTTTTACACAGGGAGCGCATGAGGTCCGCTATTTGGAAAGGGCGAAAACATGCGTTTATGACGCGTTTAGCTGTATCAATGTCCTGAGCATCCACATTGCATCTCTGTGTGTTATAATGGTGCTCATTTCTGTGGATGCGCTGTGAGCAGCTTTGCCTTGGTCCGCTACTGAGTGGGTAAACTGACATGAGACCTACTCGCGCAGCCCGACCGTGTGACAATGCATCAGTTACCGCTACGAAGGCAGCGCTCCCAGATCACAGATTCCGTGCTCAAGCGTTTCCAGCACAGCAATTACAGCGGGTCAATTCCGTCGGAGGTCCGAATTCACCCAAGGCCAAATTATGCCCAATACTCGCGTCCATTTCCACTCAATCATCATCCGCCTTCGTAGACGCGCGTATGCATCATGCTGGAGGTGAGTACCTCCTCAATATGTCTCCAATTTGTAGTAAGGCGAAGAAGCTACGGTCAGATGGTACAATGCACTCCGGCCAATTCATTGCGATCTTCAGGAGCGCCGCTCACGTCCCATGGAATGCCCTGGATGCTGCGCCTTCTAGTGCCGCCTACACGGAAGGGTATGTGCTGTCGTCAGAAGAGTATGTGCTGTCGTTGACGAACGTTCTATGGCCGCCGTTCAACGCTACCTCGACCTCTACTCCTCAACACAATGACTCAGTCGCCGGCAACCTCTGCTCCAGCTATATAACCTAACCGTCTTCAGTGTCTGAGGAGCACCGGCCTCCCGGATTCGTCTTCTCTACTAGTCTCATACACACTCACCTAAACTTTCTCATCCTACATATCTCCTAATTAGCCATGTCTTCTGTCGCCTCCAAAATCTACGTCACCAGGGAGAACAACGAGCTCGTTGTCAAGGAGGGTGTTAGCCCCGACGCTGGGAAGTACGCTGACCAGCGCGTTCTCATCATTGGCGGTGGTGTCACCGGTCTTACCGTGAGCGCATCTGGTGTTCGCGCCATAAGAACTGGTCGCTAACAATACCATAGAACGCCTGGGCTCTGCTCGATGCCGGCTACTCAGTCACTGTCATCTCTGACAAGTGGGCGTCCCTGGAGGACCGCATCACCTCTCAGATCGCCGGTGCTCTGTGGGTGGATTATCCTCAGCGAGAATTGCGTAACGCTGATCAATTCGTAACAGCTGGGAGTGGCCCCCTGCTGTCTGCGGCAGGCACACCGACCTCATCTCCCTCAAGCTCTCCAAGGTCTGGTGCATGACCTCTTACCGCGTCTTCCAGAAGCTACAGGACATCCTCCCTGCTGATGGCGAAACTGGACATGGTATCCGCATGCGCACTGCCAACTTCTTCTTCGACAAGCCCATCGAGGAAAACCAGGAAGAGTACGAGAAGATGGTCGAGATTGAAAATGTCAAGGTATGATCAAGAAACTCATTACTCAGCGCTGGGAATATTGACTATCGGTGCAGATCCCTGGCTTCGAGCGCGACTCGCTCCTGGTCACCAAGCACGCCGTCAGCCAGGAGGCCGGTGTCGTCGATGCCTATAAGCACACCACGCCCGTTGTCGACACTGACGCCTACATGCTCTGGCTCCGCTCCGTCGTCGAGGCTAAGGGCGGCAAGCTCGTCACGCACCACATCTCGGGCGACCTCCTCGAGCAGGAGGACGCGCTCCTTCGGGTCTTCGATGCCCAGTACATCGTCGATGCCACCGGTCTCGGTGCCTTCGAGGCTGCAGGCGACAGGACCGTCTACCCCCTCCGTGGTGCGCTCATCCGCCTCGTCAACGACGGCACCAAGTTCCCGAAAGTGAACGAGGCGCTCGTTGTTGCGCACGACTACGCCAAGCGTGACGATGACGGCGGCATCGTCTTCATCGTTCCTCGCAACGACAAGACCCTCATCCTCGGCGGTAGGCGTTTCGTCGCGGCAAACAATATTCATATCTGACGATGTCCACAGGTATCGCCCAGGCAAACGAGGGCAACCTCGATCTGACCCTCGAAAGCCCCGAGATGAAGCGCATGCGCGACCGGTGCAACAAGTTCGTGCCGGGCCTCGAGAAGGCCGAGCTGGACCCGCACTCGCCGATCGTGCAGGGCCTGCGCCCCGTGCGTGGTGAGAACGTCCGGGTCGAGCGCGAGCTGCGCAAAAAGACGGACGGCTCTCTGAGCAAGATCGTGCACTCGTATGGCCAGGGTGGCTCTGGCTTCACGCTCTCTTTCGGTTGCGCTGGCGATGTCCTCAATCTGATCAAGGAGGCCGAGCAGGGCATCCCGCCCACTCCCCTCAAGGCAGACCGCAAGACTATGGTCATCCGCCACTAAGGTAAAAAGGTTATGGACGGGTTTGGGAAAGGCATGAACCGGGGGCCTCGTGAATACATTACTACTAATGCACTACTAGTTCCATACAAAATTACTATGTACAGAGGTTCATTTACACCCAGCTTACACATACTATACTGTAGTCACTATATCCTCATACTACCCCACCTGACCTGCTCGCTCTACCTGCAGATAGTGTTTCAGTTCAAAAATGGCAAAAAATGCGTTCTCTGCTTCTTCTCCTCCTGTCAGCACTACCCATGAACGCTTTCCCTGCCACATCGTCGACTTTGAGACACGCGGCTTCAGGTCGTCTAACAGCAGCTGCTCTCCAACTAATCGAAAAAGATTCAAATTAGTGAGCACTTTACTTGATACTAAGGCTTATGTCTGTGTCACTGTACATGGTACTATTAATGATACATGAGCGATTACAAGTGGAAACAAATGAACGAAATTAGTATGATGAAATCGAAAGAACCTAGAGAAACTTTGCGTGATTGATACAGAAAACCTCGTGTCCGAGGCAGCTAAAGACCACTGTCATTGGTGTCGAAGGTCATAACGAAAGGGTCGTTTACCCAAGTATCAATCTCGGGCTGCTAGAGATGGTAGGAGTCAGACGTCGGACCCATGCAAACCTGCCAGCGACGTACCAGGACTGCGGGATCGGCGTCGGGAGCAATGTATCCAAAGACCGGGACCAGAGTCTTGCCATGCCGGCGCAGCTCAGTGAGATAGAGATGTTCCATCCCGATACCTCCGGGGCCGAGCGTGAAGGTCCAGTCATGATCGTCCGCAGCTTGAGCCTTGACACAAGCGGTAACAAGCACGTCAGGTTGCAGAGATGCCGCCGGGGACTGCGTACTCACCTGGTTCAAAAATGCAAACATAGCGTCCGCGATGCAACGAACCACTTTATGGCGCGGGATGGGCACAGGCACACCCCTGCGGACACGTTGTATGTTCTTAACTTGACGATATACCCTGTACCCATGTATCTGGATCTTAGTGTGAGCGACAGCAGAACCCACGAGTGTAAGGAGCTACTGCGTACTGTGATGAGGCAAGTAACCTTGACGAAGCTCGCGGGAAACAGCTCCTCGTCACGCCTGTCGAGATCTTCAAGCCGCCCGGCGTGGGCATCCGCGAGGTTGACTCCCTCGACGTCATTACAGGAGAAGAATAAGTGATCGCGTTCGTGCGGACCCATGACGGAGGAGCGAGGATGCCGGTGTGGCACATTGAGCAGGCGTCGTAAGTTGAGCCGCGCAGCCATTGGGTAATAAGGAAGAGGAGATAGCTGGCTGAGAGGTGTGATTCTGACCGTGACCGGGAATCCAGTGGAGTTTTACGACCGAAGTCGGGCCCCGCTTTTAAGAGGGCAGACTGACCACCGTGACGATTATCTGGACTGTCCGGGCGAAATGATCGACAAATACCGTCGATGGCAGGTCCACCAGCCAGAATACGCTGCCATCCGTGTTGAGGGAACATTATTCACTCCCTGACGTCCGCGTACGAGGCCCAACAACTGTGTGAAGGAATGGAAGCAGCTGGCTTCGTCAGGGCTGTCCTAAGCCGAAACTCTTGACGGATTGTGAGTCTGGCATCAGATCGTTAAAGCTTGATATCACGGAAGTCCCAGATTCAGCGACGGGGTACGTACACCTGTGACACATCCCTCCGCATTCAGGCTTACTGACGGCCCGTAGTACCATCTACTACGTTGGAGGCTGGTCCAGGAGCTTACGAGAGTTGGTTCCGCCGTGAAGAGTGCGGAAGGAACGCAGGGCAGCCTGCAAACTGATGCAAGATCGGCCTTGGTGTGAGTGTTCGTCGCATAGACATCCCCGAGAAACGTCATATCTTCCAAGCTGCCTTGTACTCGTCGCTATAACAGTCTCCGTATTGAGAACAAGGCAAGGCGTCTCCGGGTTATCTTCTCCCGAACGCGCCGTTGATTCTGTCAATTAACAAGAGTTGAGATTCTGTCGCCGCGTCTGCTTTAAGCCACAGCCGTCTGGACCGAACCAGTCAACGGAAAAAGAGGAGGACTGTGCCGCTTAGAGGGTGTTCAAGCAAGAATCGAAGGTGTCGTTGCCGAGGCAATCTGGCGGAGAAGACTCTCCAAGATATCATACTCTGCAGCCCCTTTCTAGAAAGTTTCCTGCGTCGGCCCAGGTCGAGGTCAGTGCGAAGAGCACCAGTCCTGCATGACCACTCACATCATCAAACTCGCGTCGGCAAACAAACTTCGCCTTGCCTAAGCCCAAGCCTCGAAGCTTTGCGCGGAGAAGCGTGTAATGTCAAAATAGTCGACAAGAGATCCCCCGATAGACCAGCGGCATGCTGTTCGCGCCGCTTAGCCTTTCCGCTGGCCACGTAGCCTGTGAATAGTCCAACTTGGACAGCGCCACTAGCAAGCAATGAGTACAAGCCGATTGTTGCTCTCCTTCACAGAACCGCAACCGTAAACTCAGCCTCTAAATACAGGTTGTAGACGGGGGGGGGATGTTGAGTAGCTTTTCTAAGTTTTTTCTTTTCGCATGTTTGTAGAGGCCCGCAAAACACTTGTAGGTCGACGATCTGTAGGCATCCGTAGGTAAGATACTACTTTGCGGAAACTAGAGATATTGTGAAAAAAAAATCACGCACCGATAACAGCAAGTGCCATAACAGGCCATGCTCAGCAGAAGACAAAGGTGATCGAGCGTCGAGCGACGGCGAGGGCCGGCGTTCGTCTTGGCGTCTAACACGGAACAACCCGATCCCAATAAGGCAGCTAAGCCTAGGGATGGCTTCGTACGATACCGTTACTTAAAGCCAGTCGCTCATTTGCAGGATGGAAATACAACAGGGTATTAATCCAGCTCTTACATTTGAATACCTAATCCTTAGATCCCCGAGCGGCGGCCACTCCAATGATTCGAATTGATAAGCTCCCTTTTGCCGAGACCGAGACCTGCTGAGTCCTGTACTTCACTGTACACAATGCTGCAAGCCATGAAACAATACTACTACACCGAGGGGAGCGTTAGAGGAGTTCTTTGTGACCAAAATCGATAGCTTTAAAGCTGAGGCTGCCAGAAACCGCGATCGTGGGTGAGGAAAGCCATTTCAAAAGCCTCGCCGAGCCCGATGTCAATATCAGGCTGCCAGAGGGGGGAAAGGGTCAGAAGTCAAACACATTTGAGACTATTGGCAGCATACCAAGACCACAGGACTGACGTCGGGTGGAACGAAGCCGAAGATGGGGACGAGAGTCTTGCCGTGCCGTTGCAGCTCGAGGAGGTAGAGGTGCTCCATCTGAAGGCCTGCAGGACCGAACGCAAAGGCGCCGCTGTGTCCGTCTGCCGCCCGGGCCTGAGCGGAAGCAATTGTAAACATGTCAGAGCACAAGAGGGGTCCGATACGGCCTGTGCACTTGCCTGGTGCAAGAAAGCGAGCATCACTTCCGCGATGCAGCGAACAACTTTGTGGCGCGGAACGGGCACCGGCACGCCACCGCGGACGCGTTGCACGTTCTTGACCTGGCGGAACGCCTCGTATCCGCGTATCTACAGCCTCACATAAGTGATGAAAGAACACACGAGTGTGACCCGCAAGCTGCGCACCGTGATGAGGCAGGTGAGCTTGGCGAAGGTAGCAGGAAACAGCCCCTCGTCGCGTCCATCGAGATTTTCGAGCCGCCCGGCGTGAGCATCCGCGAGATTGACTCCCTCGACATTGTGGTGGGAGAAGAACAAGTGGTCGCGTTCGTGTCGACCCATGACGGAGGAGCGGGGGTGCCGATATGATCCAATGGGCAGACGCTGGAGGTTGAAACGTGCGATCATCTTTGCGGAGCGTGAGGAAGAGGAGAAGCTGGCTGTGGGGTATTGATTGTGGCTAAAAACTCACTGAGATTCCACCAACGTAGTCGAGCCTCGCTTTTAAGAGCACGGACCAGTCATCGTAACTCTAAGAATTGCCCAAATTGTCTAGACACAGTTGTCCAATGCTGGCGATGACCATGCGACGTGCAGAGCAGTGCCCGTCGTCATCGATATGAAACGCTCCGACGATTGCAGAACGGAATGTTAGCAGCTCTTCACTACTGTCGGAAGCTTATGGGCCCTGGGCGTGGCAATTAGTTGCTACGTGCCGCCGCAGACGAGCGTAAGTACCGACTGCGGGCGGGCTTGTCTCAGCGCTCCGCTGTCAAAGCATACAAGCCCATTAAGGATTAGTTCCTCGATGATAAGTACAGCAGGAACGTGGAGCAGCCTGCAAAGCGACGCAAAGATCAGTATGATTATCCACAGTCGTGAGCTCACGAAGAAATCACATACCTTTCAGCCTGCCTTGTGCTTGTCAATATCTACATTGGGAGCGGGGTGAAAAGTGGCTGGGAGGCGGGCGAGGCCTTTCCACCTCACTTCGGAAGCGGCGTCAATCTACTTTACGTCCGTAGCTCGGGCTGCAGCCAGTGGAGCCGAGCCATGTAGACGGAAAAATGGGGAGGTGATTGAGCGAGGTAAGCGGGTCGTACGAGACGTGTCGTTGCCTAGGTAATCCACCAGAGGCCGTGCAGAATGGCTCGCCATGACGTTCTCTGTCTCCTGCCGGCTACCGTCTTCTGCATCGACGCAGATCGGTTCAGTGTACTAAAGAATATCGATCCTGCACGGAGATTTACGACCCCGACACCGTCGACGGAAGTGTGGAGCGCAGGTTTGTCGGCGTCGACTTGAAGTGCGAGCACTAGAGCCCAGGCTCCAGGGCTTCATGCATGTTCGGGTTGACCGGTGCTTTCCGGCGAGGTCGACATCGCCTCGAATGCAACTGCCTGGCATCACCGCGCGCTACTGCCGCGGAGCCTTATCACCGGAAGCCTTCCCAAGATAGGTAATTGCTGCGGTTCAGAAATATGATTGTGCCGCCCTTAAGCTCACGTTTGGCACTTGTTGCGTCTTCAGCGTCACGCTGTTGTGCATATTCTCCTGAGCTCTCTGTTCTGCCTGCAGAAAATGCCTGGGTCGGAAGCGAAATCATGCGATTTACCTGTTCAGGATGATGTCGTCTGACTCGTCTCTGGGTCTCAAGCACAGTTCTTGCCGATACTATCCCCGACTGAGTATATGTTCTCCGCCCCATCGTTGATCATGCAGCGTTCCCAGTCCACGGCTCCCTTACTAGCAAGTGGCAGTCAATCTCTGACAGTTTCAAATTGGTATGCTTTCTTTGTACCATACATAGTATTACAGATCTTTGAGACGTCAGAGGAGCCGCGATGTGACCAATATAGAGCACCTCAAATCTAGAATCTACTACCGCCCATGTCGAATGTTGCAGTAAAAGCGCCATCGAACCACGGGTTAATCTCGGGCTGCCGGTGGGTCAGAGAAGATCAGACCCCGACCTCATACAAGACCGTTGGCGACGCACCGTGACCGCGAGACTAACACTGGGGGGGATGTATCCGAAGACTGGGACTATGGTCTTGCCGTAACGATGCAGCTCGAGAAGGCAAAGGTGTTCCATCTGGATACCGGCAAAACTGAACGTGAAGGTGTCGTCGTGGTCATCCGTGGGCTGGGCCTTGAGACGGGTGGTCGTGAGCATGTCAGGACACAAGAGTCTCCAACAGTGCCATTACACCCACCTGGTTCAAGAACGCGAACATCGTCTCTGCGATGCAACGAACCACCCTGTGACGCGGGACAGGCAGTGGCACTCCATCACGGATGCGCTGCACATTTCTGATCAGGCGGTACGCCTTATACCCGCGTATCTGAAATTAAACGTGAGCTGAGGCAGGTCACACGAAGGTAGTACTGGACAAGTTACGCACAGCGATGAGGCAGGTGACCCTGGAGAAGCAGGCGGGGAACAGCTCGTCGTCGTGTCCGTCGAGATCTTGGAGCCGTCCTGCATGGGCATCGGAGACATTCATTCCCTCAACACCGTGACACGAGAAGGCCCAGTGTCCGCGTTCGTGCGGCCCCATAACGGCAAGACGGGGATGCTGGTAGGGCACATTAGGCAGACGCTGCAGGCAGAAGCATGTGGCCATTTTGAGGAGGATGAAGAAGAGAAGTGGTGAGCAATATCGCTGTTATTCATCGAGGTTTTATAGGCGTTGCAAGGAAATGGATTTACTGCTGTGGGGATTATCTGGATGGTCTAAACATTGACAAATTGTGCTGATGAGGCCTACCATAATCCATGTGGTGGAGAACGTTAATTCACCGCTAACGCTTTCCCGCGGATTGATACGAGCTGTGATAATTGTGGCGCTGTCCATCCCGCACAGCAATCTCTGTTAGCCTGTTGCCAGGGTGTTACCATGGTTGTCGAAGTCTCGGAGATCCCATTCGCGGCGTCGTGCAAAGGATTGGCGCTTGCCAAGTTGTCAGGGTGTCGCTAGGGCGCCTGCAGGCGTCAGGAGGCATGAGATGGTAAAAAAAACACTAGACTGCTTCGGTCTTGTGCACGTAGTAGCAAGTCGTGCTGGTGTGGTCCGAGTCAGAACATGTAACGCGGGTTGTTGATCGGGGCTCAAGTCTCGAGCCCGGCCCACCAGCCGGTAGGTGCATCCGATAAGGTTACGCTGGCGCCAAAAGAGATACGTGGTCCTTCTGCAAGATCTTCCACAACATGTACAACCCCGCAGTTCAGATTATATCCCCGCCGTGCAAGTCAAAATAATGTAAGTTACGCGCCCTGAAATTTGTAGGAATATATCGGCACTATACATCGTGAAAGAGCGAAAGGAAAATAGCGAGAGTACTCAGATGGAGGGGCATCATGCCAAGCTCCCTCGCCGCCGTTGTCGGCAGCGAGTAACAGCTGTGGCGTAGCGTTGATGTCCGTGCTTGACGATGACTCGGAGATGGGTAAGACCGAGTAGTTTGGCGGCACGGAGCCTCATAGGGTCGACAAAGCAGCTGTTTGGCATTAGCATCAATTCATCTCCCCACAGTGGGTCTGAGGTATCCCTCATCTCATCAAACAGAGTTCACGGGCCTGATGCCAATGTCCAGTCCCGCTGCACAGTATGAAACCCGACGCGCGTCTCCAGCGACTCGGAGGCGCGCCACTTACCCAGCTCACAAGTCTTAGTAAATCGAGACGTATTCAAATCAGTAAGTCCTCTACTCATTATACCACTATTAATCATGAATAAATGATTAAAAATGAACGATTGTAAACGGAAGATCATTTATATCACTCATGTCTTCGCCCACATGCCCCGGAAGTAAGCAATCGAGTTCTTGCTAAGGGTCCTCAGTCGAGGTCGTTGAGGCTACGAGCCCTGCGAGGAAGTTGTTAGGCACACATTTCCTGAAGTCAGACTCCAAGAAACACTCACATCTCCTCCCGGCGAAGAATGCTGCCAATGGTCTTGAGCAGGTTGAAGGCACCAGACTGCTGGTCCGAAGGGTCCGCGCGAGCGAGCATCTCGATATCCTCTCGGCGGAGGATGCTGCCAATGGTCTTCAGCAGGTTGAAAGCACCCGATTGCTCGTCTGAGGGATCCGCGCGAGCGAGCATCTCGACGTCTTCACGACGGAGAAGGCCGCCGAGGAATTTGGTGAAGCTGAACGCGCCGGACTCATCCGAAGGGTTCGCGCGGGCAAGCATTTCCATGTCCTCGCGGCGAAGGAAGCTGCCAATGGTCTTCAGCAGGTTGAACGCACCCGACTGCTGGTCCGAAGGGTCTGCGCGAGCGAGCATCTCGACATCCTCTCGGCGGAGGATGCTGCCAATAGTCTTCAGCAGATTGAACGCACCCGACTGCTCATCGGACGGGTCAGCACGGGCGAGCATCTCCATATCCTCCCGGCGAAGAATGCTGCCAATGGTCTTGAGGAGGTTAAATGCACCGGACTGCTTGTCTGAGGGGTCCGCGCGGGCGAGCATCTCGACATCTTCGCGACGGAGAAGGCCGCCGAGGAACTTGGTGAAGCTGAAAGCACCGGACTCATCTGAAGGGTCCGCGCGGGCAAGCATTTCCATGTCCTCGCGACGAAGGATGCTGCCGATAGTCTTCAGCAGGTTGAAGGCACCCGACTGCTGGTCTGAAGGATCTGCGCGGGCGAGCATCTCCATATCCTCGCGGCGAAGGATGCTGCCAATGGTCTTGAGCAGGTTGAAAGCACCAGACTGCTCGTCTGAGGGGTCTGCGCGAGCGAGCATCTCGACGTCTTCGCGGCGGAGCAGGCCGCCGAGGAACTTGGTGAAGCTGAACGCGCCGGACTCATCCATATCCTGGGCCTCGCGGGCGAAAAGCGCACGCGCAGCGTGGGCAGCAGCGTGCTGGGGCTTGGCACCCTTGTGGCCCTTGTGGTGTTTGTGGCCGCGGTGCTTGTGGCCGTGGTGCTTATGTCCGGACTTGCGGTGCGCAACGCCCTCCTCGCGAGCGTGGTGCATGCCACCGTGGTGCTTGTGGCCGTGGTGCCGGTGACCGTGGTGCCTGTGGCCGTGGTGGCCGTGGTGGTCGCTATCGTACAGTCAGCAAAGCGCATAAGCGGAGACGGGCAGCCGAGACTTACTGGTGGAACTCGCGGGCATGGGCGACTGATTTTGGTGACTGGAACAGGTTCTGGCGCGCGTTTTGCAGCTCTTGTTGACTGAGGTTAATATCACCACGGGAAACAAGGGGTCCGTCAAGGCTGCGAAACCAGTTGTAAGTCTGTGTCCTCCTGGAGGTGACGAGTAAACACATACGGCCGGGCGAGGGCGGGGGCAGCGGCGGCGGCAACAGCGAGAACTATGACAGCCTTGGGAGCGTACATGATTGGAGTCGTGAAAGAGTAAAATCAAGAAGAGGTGTAGAGGGTCGTGAGTAGAGGAAAGGGCGCGTCGTGAGATGGTCGAATGCGAAGGTGATTAAAATAAAATAAACAAGTCAGGCTATTGAAGTCATAGTCAGCTTCTGGCTCTCTAACAAACCGCCGAGCTCGTTACTCACAGACCAGCACCTGAACTTGGAGAAGAAGAAAGAGCTCGAAAGAGGAATGAAAGAATGAGCTGAGCTGAAGTTGTCGGACGTCTGCCGTAGGGTTTTATACGGCCTCGCAAGGCGTCTTCTCGTGCTAGGAGCATCCGCGGCCATCATCGGAGCGCTGTACAGACCTGTGCAAGCCTGAAATGAACACAGATTGGAGCTTGGGAGCCACATCAATACGCATCACCATGGTTCCGGGGCTGGGGGATGCATGATTGTTGAGGACTTCATCGAAGAGCGCAGGAGCTCTTGGCTGTGATACATGGCACGCTTTGACGTGAGCCTTCAAGATTAGGAACATGGAAAACATTCTACATGCTTGCTTAATTCAAGTATTAGAACCAGGTTGTGAGTGGTGCGGGGAGCTTCTAGGCATTAAACAGTCAGTCACGCAACGCATCACGAGAATAGGACCGTGGGTCCCAATTAGTGGAGCCAGCCGCTCATCCGCGTTTATTAAAAGGGCATCAATGCTTCGCACCGCATTTGATGCTCTCCACTCTCTAACGAGATGGTTTCCTCTATATCGTACAGCATACAGATAGCCGCAGTCTTCGGCCCCTAATTCCGGAATTATCCCTTGAGAATAGGTCAATGCCGACGTCGGCGCACTGGAAGGCCTATCACTCACGTGCGTCTCGCTTAATTGAAACCTGTTCATTCAGACCGCAGGTTTCACGTACATCGAGGGAGACAGCAGTCAAGATGAACAAAAAGGCATCAGTAAAGGCATCATTTTCTCATAGGAAGCTGACTTCGTATATAGGATAACGCTAGACACTGGACTCTCGTAGACCACCTGTTGGCTCACGTCAACATAGGGAGAAGAGCACCGGAGAGATATGAAGAAACGTACGAAAGGAATGGCGAAGGCACGGGCGAAGAGTCTGCGCGCCGCCCGCCTATCTCATAAATTCCCTGGTGCACTCCCTAATTCAATTGAATTAGTAGGCTTTCTACTTATTGTTAGGGCTTGCATCTACATCTCTTGTGCCCAACATCACTAATTATTAGCAAGCGATTGCAAATGGATGACTTTTAACAAAGTGTATTGTGATACATCGAGGCCATAGAAAGCCGTCGGTCTGGAGTGGCTAGAAGCTACCGTCGTAGTTGTCTAAGGTCGCGACGAAAGGGTCGTTGATCTGAGCGTTGATCTCGGGCTGTTGGAAGATAGTGGGGATTAGACTGCAGCATTACAGGAGCCTACTAGTGACGCATCACAACTGCGGGGCCAGTGCTGGGCGGCCTGTAGCTAAAGACGGGGACCAGAGTATTGTTGTACCGACGCACCTCGAGGGAGTAGAGGTGTTGCATCTCGATAACCCCAGGGCCGAGCGCGAAGATCAAGTCGTGATCCTCAGTGGGTTAGACCCTGCCAAATAGCTACGGGTGCATTAGGGCACAGGCTTCCTGACAGGGCTTGCCTACTCACCTGGTTGAGAAACGCGAACATCGCGTCCGTAATGCAACGAGCCACTTTATGGCGCGGGACAGGCATCGGCACACCACCACGCACGCACTGCATGTTCTTAACTCGACGGAATATCCTGTGCCCGCGTATCTGAGACCTGTTGTGAGCAACGAAAAATCGGGTTGGCACAAGGCACAAGCTGTGCACGGTAATAACACGAGTGACCTTGACGAACCTGGCGGGGCGTAGTACATCGTCTTGCCAGTCGAGATCTTCGAGCCGCCCGGAACAGGCATCCGAGAGATTCACTCCCCAGACGCCGCGGCGGGAGAAGAACCAGTGGTCGCGCTTATGCGGTCCCGTGTTGGCGTGCTGGGGATGCTGGTAGGATGAATTAGGCAGTGGATGGATATTGGAAGGCGTGGCCATGACGAGGAAGAGGTGGTGGTAGCTGGCTGTGTAGAATCATGAGTTCGTGTGAGGCTAGTGATCCGCTGGGGGTTTACCAGCGCCGTCGGGTTCCATTTTCGACAACAAGGGCCGACTATCGTGAGGATTGTCTGGGCTGTCTGGACATTAATATTGCTGTCCAATCCTGTAGATAACCGTGTCGTGCAGAGTCAATATAAACTATCCGACGGCTGCGGGCAGCTCGGGTGATCAGGACCGTCAGAAGCCTGTGAACCCTGGATGCGATGATCAGTTGGTCCGCGACTCTGCCGAGGAGCGTACTGACCGCCAGCAATCCCGCTTCAGCGCCTAGCTGTCAAAGGCTATAGGTCCAGCACAGGCGAGTTCTGGTCGGATAACGACAGCAGGAGCGAGCTATGCAAGAGGTTATTTACCTATAAAGCTATCTGACCACATTATTCGTCGCCACAGCAGCATCGACATTGTGACGAAAAGCGGCTGAAAGACAGATAAGGCACTTGTATGTCTATCCTTCCATACGGAAGGTTCAGAAGCGATGGCAACCTTCGGTTCGTCGCCACTTTGAGTTGCAACCGCCGGAACCGAGCCACGTGGATGAAGGAACGGGAGAACCACGCCGTTTCGAAGGTGCCGGAGAAGTCGTCGAGACGACAGAAACGGGTCATTGCGAAGATGGTCCACCGGAGATCCGTCAGGATATGTTGTTTTCTGCGCCGGCGAATATCGGGGTCAGCGTGGAGAGTTTCGATCGTGCAGTCACTTACAGCACGAACCTTGCTCGGTGCGGGACACGCACAAGCGAGACCCACCGCCGTCGCCGCGACGCACTGTCCCCGCCGCTTACGATTTACCAGCCTTCACCCTCGGGACTCATAGCCTGCAGGCGGTGTGTCCCGTAAGCAAACTAGGGACAGCGCCGTTGACAAGCAATGAGCGCGCACAGACTGTGTCTCCCATGCCATAGGTTTGCACCCTAATACTCGGTCCCGGAAGATACGTAGAGGACACGGAGAGTATAGCGTTTACAGGTTAGGTAGACGATCTACAGGCATAGCAAGCTGCTTTAGAGTAGCAAAGGATACTGTAGACACCGAGACGCACCGGTGCCAGCTGCCAAGTAGTGTGTTGAGTTCGCGACCATGGAAGACAAGATACTCGAGAGCGACGGGACTTCAGACGACTTGACTTGGGCGGGCTGACGCCGCCCGCGCGGCGCGTAGATCCCGGTTGTGCCGGGAGCTGCCGGCGCCGTTCTGTGGGCGTGAACGACCACGCACCCCGGGCCGCGGGTTGACCTGGGATGGAAACCAACAACAGGCGACAATTGATATCGCAACGGCCCCGCCATTGGCCAGTGGGTGCAGATGATCGTCCCCGGGCCTTCTTTCCGACCTAGCCAAAAAATTGATACCGATTCTCCTGCGGAGGGCGCAGCCGCGGATATCCGAGCTACAGCAGACATCGCGCTCATCAGACCTGTATCGTAAAACATGCTATAGTGACTCCGCCCTCGATCCTCTTCTGCTACCATTGGTGAGACTCGTCATTAGCAGCATTTCACTGTGCCTCTGGGTCCGCTCATGTGAAAAATTGCTCCGGGCGGGCAGGGTATTAACGGCGCCACATGCGACGGAAGCGAGCAAGACGTCGGGACGAGCCCCAGCAACTGACCAAAAGTCCCCTTGATACGGTCTAGGTGACATGCTTCATCGCGGAGTGATGTAATGACACTCCCGTACCCTTCGATGCGCTGACTTCGGCGCACCGGCCACTATCGGCTCTGTCCTGGATTTTTGTAGGCAGGAAAGATGCGCGTAGCCCCCATAGGTTGCAGATGACCGAGCCAGATTGGCGAGCTTAGCCCTAGGGTGGCGTAATGGCTCTCGTACTCTCGTGCCGCTGAGGTCGGCTGTAAATTGCCCCGTTAGCTAGTGACAGCAGGTCGGCCACGTTTGAGTTTTTGTAGACAGCTCCGCATGGTACACGATAAAGACACCTCAGGTCATGCAAAATCGATCGCTCACAGCCTGATGTGTGCGACATTGACTGGCTTCCGCACGGGAGATTAGTCACTGCGATCGCGCCCTCAGCGAAGCGTCGGAATAGCGGCTGTGGGTCGGTAAGGTGCCACCTATGTCGAATGCGCTTTCCGGTAGTGTTGTGAACATGTCGACTACAATCCATGTACTTACCCTGGGTTCAATAGTAGATTCGGCCATCTTCTCTGCCATTGTCGTCAACTCGGAGGTACATGGTATACCCAGCCTGTAGGACCTCTAGAGGCCGCCACTTGCCAGCTAATCGGAGCAGATTCTGATTATAAAGCTCTATATTCTACTACTGAGGCTTGTATTTGCACCTCGCTGTACATGATGATACCCATTATGCGTACATGATACGAATATATGGTGAGATCGAGAAGAACATTAGGGAAATACTAAGTGATCGACACTGGAAGCCTCAGATCTAGCTAGAAAATATCGCCATTGATGTTAAAAGGCCAAGGCGAAAGGTTCATTGAACTCGGGCTGATGGGGGTTGGCAAGAGTTCACATTAATGCGAGTCTCATGCGAGCCTGCTAGCAACGTACCGTGACTGCTAGATCGATGCCGGGAGGGACGTAGCCAAGGACTGGGACCAGGGTCTTGCCATAGCGATGAATCTCGAGGAGATAGAGATGCTCCATCTGGATGCCTGCAAGGCCAAACGCGAAGGCACCGTCGTGATCGCTCGTAGGCCGAGCCTTCGACACAGGTGGTAATGAACATGCCAGTCACCGAGATTCGGACGAGGCCACTGCACTCACTTGGTTGATGAATCCCTGCATCGCTTCCGCAATGCACCGGACCAGTTTAGATCGCTGAACAGGCAGCGGTACACCCCCACGGACGCGCTGTACGTTCTTGACCCGCCGATACACCTCATATCCATGTAGCTAAAGCTAGTGTGAGCACCGACACATCATGGAAATGTAGCGGATGAGCTGCGCACGGTGATGAGCACGGTTACTTTGGCGAAGGTCGCAGGGAACACGTCTTCATCGCACTCATCGAGATTTTCGAGTTGTCCGGTGCGGGCATTAGCAAGATTGATTCCCTGGACGCCACCGGAGGAGAAGAACAAGTGGTCGTGCTCATGTGGACCCATGATGGAGAAGCGTGGATGTTGGTATGACCTGTTACGCACACGTCGGAGGCTGAGACGAAGGAGCATCTTTGTGGGGAGGGGAGAGGAGATAACTGGCTACGGGGTGCGGTTCTGACTGCGATCGCCACCAGTTTTATACGAACCTTCGGGCCCCGCCTTTCTAAGAACGAACCGACTGTCGTAGGGGTTTTCCAGGTCGTCTGAACCTCATTAACAGACACAGTCAAAAGCGTAATTGCACACAAATGGCAGGCGCTGTGATCCGCGCAACTGAGATACCCGCCCGTTCGCTGACTTTGGTATGAGGGGCAATGGCTGTGTCGCTGCACATGGCGGCTCGGCCATACTAGGATCTGCGACTGCACAGCAAACGGCTGTTTGATCGCCGGTGTACGCGCACTGGTTCTATGAAGTTCGCTGTGCCGCATGAAGGGTTTGCCGGTTTGTTGGACTGGATGAAGAAGTGCCCTACCTGTGGTGGCCGGCTCAGTCGCCGGTTGAAGGCCCGTGTGAGATCACGGCTGTCGGAAGCTGGCAGATTCGGCGGAGGCCTAATGTTTGGTATCGCATGAGCCTTGGGTGTGGAAATTGAGTACGCGCCGTAGTACGTACTTCTGTGACATAGAAATGTAACAGAGCTATATTCCACTATGATAAAGGCTGCAGCAGAAAGGTGAGGCAATCTGCCAAGAGATGCAAGGGTCAGTCTTAGCGTACATATTGTGAGCTTTCAGAGAGTTATCACACCTCTCAAGCTATATTGCACTTGTTGCCACAACGATCCTGAAATTCGGAACAAGAAAAAATGCATACGGATAGATAGAAAGAGGAGTCGCTTCCCAGTGGTGCGGGTTACTTTCTCACATAAACACTCGGCGGAAGCGAATAATGTCAGCCCGCGAGCTAAAACTGACCATGGCGATGTCCGGCGCAAGTACAGCCGAGCGTGTGTGTCTAAGTTAAGTCGAGGCTTTGGAGAAATGAGGGACCTTAAATGCGCGAGCGAGCACAGGTCGAAAGAGTCGTCGCGAACACCGCTAATAGGCTGATGCAAATTTTCGTCTTCTGCCGCAGGCTATGCAGGGGTTTCTGGCATCGGCATAGATAAGGTCAGTGTAAAGCGTGCCGGTACTATGCGGGCACTTGCAGTGTCAGATTTGCCTCGGTTAGCAAAAGATCCCTCGACTGAGCCTCCATACAGTGCTTGGTGCGGGACAGTGTGCGACATAGGACAGTGATCCTTCCACGACGCCGTTTGTAGCTTGCTAGTCTTCGCCCTCGAAACTAGTCTATCTTCCTTGCCATCGGTAAATCACATCAGTGCTGCGTGTGGCATGAAGGGTTTTGCCTAACTACCACGCACCGGATGGTGTGGAGCCCAAATTTTGCTGGAGCAATCAGCCACCTGTGCAGGAAGGATAATCTCAAGAAGAGCCAGGAAGACTGGACTTTTTGGAAACTGGCTCTCTTGATGGAGGTAGCCTGAGATTAGTTGATTCGGGGCTCCCTGGTTGTATGAGGGGCACGAGGAGACGCGCCATGGTCTGAATAGGCTGCTGGAGGATTTCTGTGGTAGACCACTGAATGCACCTGTATGGATACATCAGGATGATCAGCCTTGCCAGATAATAGGGAGGCAGCTCAGTATGTGCCCCATCATGAATCCAAGCAATTGAATTCTCGCAAGGTAGAGCTCTGGGCGAGTATTAGTCAAATCTCAGCTTGAGAATGCGGGCACAATCTTGCACGAACCCATACCGATCGAAGTTGCCAGTTTTATCGCATCATCTGGCGAAGTCCGTCTAACGACACAACTAGGAGAGCATTTTTCAAGCCGTTGGCAAGATCTCGCCGGCCTTTGTGAGTGTAAGCCGGCTCGAATGATATCAACTGGATGCGAAGAGGGCCGGAAACATCGACGTCTAACTGAGTACATTCGGCGCCGACCCTTAGATGGCAGTGGATGAGTGAAAAGGCAAAGGCGACGGTCCTGCCTACTTGCGCAGAGGTATTGCGATGTAGATGCGGGCCTTGAGTTGAACACCCGCCCAACGCCGCAGACTGTGTTTCTGTGCCCCAGTGTACGATTCTTGGGCCTGAAACAGCAGCATTTGAGCTCACGAGGCGACATCAAAAT